CATAAGGGACTGTACGATATTTACCGGGGGGGAGGGCTGGTGCAAAATGGTCCGGTAAAAAATTTTTTCAATGGCCCTCCCCCCGGCTCAAAATTTTTTTCGATGGCCCTCCCCCACCCCAAAAAATTTTCGATGGCCCTCCCCCACCCAAAAATTTTTCGATGGCCCTCCCCCATTTTTCGATGTCTCTTTATCCCTCCGTAAATTCCCAAATTAAGTACGCATCCCGATTAAAGGTACGCGCCCCCAATTTGGGGCTGATGGGAGACAAATATTCCCGTCTGAAATGGAAAAACTCTGATGGAAAAGTACGCACCCCTTCTACGCACGGCCGGTACCTCTGGTCTTAAAGACAGTTCATCGTTCCAAACAAATTTAAAATTGCAGCTTTAAAATTGTTAAAAACTAGATTTATGCTGTGTACTGCGTGATTGTATGGTAACGTAGCGGGAAACGTTCCATGTTCGGGCTTGTTTTCACCGCCGGCCGCAGCCGACTTGCAAGACGTCACCACCGCATCGAAAGGTAAGGCAAGTGCGGCGAAACGTACAGCTTTGGATCCCGGAGAACGTTGGTGATCAAACAAGCAATGGTCAATAAAGATTCGTGAAAAAAGACCGTATTTCAATATTGACTTCATCGGTAGCGGGGGGTAGTTGAATGTTGATGTACCTGAGTACGTAGCTTTGCTGGTTTTTTTTACTACATGTATACGAAATGCACCGAACACTTAAAATAGCACCCGCCTGATCAACCCATGGAGAGCAATTAATTAACGATCATCGAGGCGGAGAACTGGGCGGAGTATTCATGCTACTGTAGAGGTGCTGCCTTAAAATTTGCCACCCGTTACACTTCTAAGGAATAAACACATGTGTTAATTATTACGGTACTCCGTAAAACTTATAAGTACATTCTGTTCAGAGGAAAGAAAGATTTCCTTCCCGGGGCCCAGGTTCTGGAAAGCTGTCCTCAGCGCTGCCACGGCCCTCTTTGTCTCTTTGTTCTTCAGCTGTAGGTGCACTTTGCCTGTCGGCGCGCTCAGCACCCCACCCACCGGCCTTTCATCAAAGACTACATTTTAAGATAACTCCGTCCATATCATTGTAGCTTGCCGAACAGTCGGGTGGGAGAGTACATCTAGCTGGCATTTTCACGTCGTACTGCACTGGCTGGTATAGTCCGCTACAAAGTAATTTCCCATGGCGTTTATCAAGATTTAAAAAGATTTGTGATACGAAATGACTACATGGATAACAATATCTGTCAACTGAACCTTTGAAACGGCATGGGGTAAAATCTTTGTCGAAGATTTCTGAGTTAAACTCAAGCCGGAAGTGCATTAGAACTGACCATCAGTCGAGGCACAACTGTTATTTTATCACGTTACGTTTTGTTTACGACGATCAAAAACTTCACGGCTTGCGAACCATTTCAAATATTACCGCTCATAAACCCTCTTACAATTTTATATGTACTTACGGGGGGTTATATTTTCGGCCGGAGTTCCACTGAGATCGGCGTCGGCTGGCTGGGGGACGGCCGGTCGGCATGACGGAGCGCCGGGCGTCATTGCTAGTGACCAACATTTTCTTACCGTGGGTGACTTGACTTCTTTTTTACCACAACTTGGTGTAAATATCGACGATAGTCAGAGGAATTATGTTCATATTTGAAGATCAACTTTATTTCCACTCGTCAATATTCTTATCTGAACATGCTATGGACGATCGATGTCGTTCCAAGTTCCCCGTGCCGGTGTTCCGCTATATATATCCCTGGGTCGTCCACGGATTTGTCGGGGGAAAACCTCAAATAAACCTCAAAAACCTCGCACCCCGACTTTGGCGACGGCCCGAGACACTTTTGGGATTTGGAAAAGTTTTAAAAGTGCGTACTATATTTCGAATTTACGGCGTATTTCTTGTAATTCGGTACTACGCGACGCCATATTTTGGAAAAATTTTTCAGTGGCCCTCCCCCCCAAGGCTGATTTTTTTTTCGATGGCCCTCCCCTCGGTTAAGATATTTTTTCGATGGCCCTCCCCCCGGGCCAAAAAAGTTTTCAATGGCCCTCCCCTCCAGTGCACCAGCCCTCCCCCCCCGGTAAATATCGTACAGTCCCTAACACAGATGAACTTTTAAGATTTCTCCTTGTTGGTAAGTGACATCATAGAGAGTAGTTGAAATCTTTCCTACTCAAAGTAAAAGATTGTATCTAATTTAAGACCTGAAAATCTTTAATGAATAGTAGAAGTAGAATGTAAATATGATTATCATATTTACTTGTTACTACACTGTACTTCGTACTGAAGTGACATTTTGTCATGTACATTATGTACATGAATAAAGTCTAGGCCTAGAAGTTGTATCAAATTGGTAATACATGAGTTTTAACACGGTAACTACATGTACATCCAAGCATACACAATGTATATTTACAGCGAACATCGTAATATTTAGTAATGTTTTGTAAATATTGTTGTTACAGAGTTGGAGGGAATGCAGCGTACATCCTGGGTACGATAGCGGAGAACGAGCTAGGCGCAGCACGGGTCCTGAGCCTGACCAATGGGAAGGCAGGAGAGCAGATCCTGGACGACCTGACCAACATGCTGACCCTGACTGACGCAGAGTCGGTCATGAACGCTGCAGGGACCATCGGGACACTGGTAGGGGCAAACTCCATGGTGGGAGGGGTGTGATGCTAGAGTCGGGGCTCTAGTCAGCTTGAAATTTTTTGGTCAGCCCATTGCCAGGTTCATGATCGAATCTGGGGGACCACTATAGACGCAACATGTGTGCCAAAGGCGCTTGCAATCTAGGGGGGTTCGCTGCCAATGCCAGGCTACAACAGCTTCAGTTCTTTAGAACGTACACACCACATGTGGTATCAAGTTTTGTAGGTCTTTAGTTTATGAATGATGCAGGATATAGAAAAGGTAGCCTCTACCAGGCTCTGGGAAGCAGCTGGAAAGAGTAGAAATTGGCCAGCTTCGGGAGTGGCAAAATGTACTCTCTAGCAGACTCATGTTATCTGTCTTTCTGGACAATTTCTACTCTTTCCTGCCACTTCCCATAGCCTGGGAGAGGCTAAGAAATAGGTATCTTTTGGTATTTTAGCAGTGTTTTTCTCTTGCCATTTCTTAATGGTTACACCACAGTCATGAAATGTATCTTGTTGATCCTACTGTTTGTATCTTCCCAGGCTGAGAGCTCAGAAGGACGTGATTGGATGCTAGGAGAGCCCCATCTGGACAACACTGTCAGTAACGTCACCAACCTGCTCACATCTAACAACCAGTGGATAGCCAGTAATGCTGCATTGGTGCTGGCCAGGTTAGTAAACTGTGTTATATCAAATTCTTATGTCAATTTCAAAAATGTTGGTGATTCAAGAAATTGAAAAAATGTTATCTAACTAAGCATAACATTATGCCATTCATTTTCATCAAAAACAACTAATTGAAACTTGTTTAGATTGACCATAATTTTCAGGCTTCCTAATTTTCTGTATTCCTCCCATCTCTACTGTTTAGGTTGACGATATCAGAAACCGGCTGTAACCGGATTCTGGACCATGAGAGCTCACAGCTGGTCCTGACCAAACTGGTCCTGTCTCTGGGGGTGGACAAAGCTGGTATGTCTTTTTTATGCTTGTAAGAAAAGAAAAAACAAAATTCATACCTGTTTATCCATGATGTCCAAAATTTATTATACAGTTTGAATCTGTCAATAATTATTGGTAGATGTAGTCACTTGTCATTCTTGCACTGATTAGAAAAAAAACCAGAAAGATGCATCAAGAGAAAGTGTCTGAATTCTTATCAATAATGAATGAAAACATTTAGTAAATATTACTATTAGATATACATGATGTAGATTCACATACCGGTAACAGTACTTCAGAATATTGTAGAATATTACTGAATACTGTCCTTTCCCTTAGGACTGGGGATGAATTCTGCCTTTGCTGTGGGCCGTCTGTGTGACATGGAGCCAGGGAGGTCACGACTACTCAGTCTGCCGGACTCAGAGAAAATGGTAACAACTTTCTGCAAAATTTGAAGTTTCTTGATGCACTTGTTTATCAATAAGGTTCTATTAAATGTTTTTGGAAAAGGCAGCTGGGAATGTGATTCTTTTGAAAAAATACAAAATTCTTTGACATCAAGGTACCAATTTTTCCAGCATAGATCGATGTTACCCTTCCCATTTATAATTGTGTACTGTATGCAAAATGTACTACATGTAGTATCTTGCATGTTTGTAATCAAACTTTTCCCTCCCTAGTTTACCTCCCTTGGCAAAATGCTGTGCCACGGAGACACGGGATCCAGCAAAAACGCCTGCTTTGCCGTCAGCTGCCTGGCGACCAGCCCCGAGGGCCACGCCCGGTTGCTAGGCAGCAGGAGCTGCAATGAGCTGCTGACAGCGCTAGGCCGTCTCCTCAAGGCAGAGGATGGCGAGACGGGATGGTTCGCTGCCATGTAAGTTTGCTGATTTTACCATCATTTTCATCACTATTCAATGTTATTTTAGTCATTTAGACAGACTGACAGTACTTACTAAAAGAAAACCTATTTATGTACACCCAAATGACGAAGTCATATATCTATGGCTCTAAAGATATTGGGAACTTTTGTATTGAAGTCACATCTGGTTAATAGCAGCACAATTTGATTTTCATGTCAAACTGCACTAATTTATCCTGCCACTAGAGGGGGCTGCTGCACTGCACATTGCTAAATGGTGCACTTTCTTTTCTCTAGGACACTGAGGACACTGGCTAGTGTAGGGAAGGGTGTAGTTAGACTGAGAGATCATGCAGAGGTGGTCCGTTCTCTTAAGGTGAGACTGAACACAATACTTATAGTAGTTGTAGCGGACTTTTAAGTAGTAATATTTAAGTACAATATTTGCATGTACATGTAGCTATTTTCCATAGAGATGTGAAATGCCAGCAGAGGGCACCAACATCTAAGTGCTTAACATCAAGCCAATTGCATGCACATATCTCTCAAGGAGTTTTGAAATTTTAAAAGTGTGAAGGTCTGATCCAAATGTGTCTGATTATCTTGATATTTGTAGGAGACTGAGTCCAGGGAAAATGTCAGTCCAGACCTGCGCGATGAGGTCATCACAACATTAGAAATCCTCAAGAGGTTGGAGAGACCAAACCCACCCAGAATAGAAGGTTTGCTAGAATTCTTTTCTGATTGATTTTTCTGAAGACTATTAGTAATTGGATAGCATATTACAATGTAGCTATATCTGTTATAGTGAAGAGCCAGTCTACTGCCCCAAACATTAATGTCAGTGTTGCTGTAAATTTTAATGAGTTGATCATGATGGGGAAAACTTCTATTACATAAAGTTGATCTCCATATTCTTTATTCCACAGTGAGAGGGCCCCACTCATGTGAAGCTGCATGGGATGCCAGCACAACGAAGAGTGGTCTGCCCATCACATACAGACTTTATGATGGTATGTGGCTACCTCTGATTTATTATTATCCTAATGAGATATCTTGTATGGTGTCTCTCATCCATTGCAGACAAAGAAACAAACAGACAGATTACAGGAACGTTACAGCCATTTAATCCATTTCAACTCAGTAACAAGTTACAGATTAAATGTAGAATATAGTTACAAATGTAATTGTGCAAAGTCAATTGTGTAAAAGTACTGAACTGTTCTTGAACTACCAGTAGCTGTATAAATCTACCTTACCTGAATGGGAGTTGAAATTTCCCCTTACATTTCTCTCCATCCATAGGTAACAGAATAGCATACAGAGGAGCTGACCTACACTGTGTGGTGGATGGTTTACAGCCGTACACACAGTACACCTTCAGACTACAGGCTGCTACAGAGGGAGACGGCAGTCCACAGAGTGACCCTGTTATCGTTAGGACAGAGGAGTCAAGTAAGTCAACCTGTTACTACAACTACAACTGATTATGATAACATTCACGACTCTGAGATAGTCTTTTGGTACCAAATTTGTATTTGTTACGGTGTCAGGCAGTAGGGAGAAGGTTAAGATAATGCAAACTTAAAGCCTGAAAAGAAAATGTTCTTTAGTTAAGCTGTAAATGTTATGCCATTATGTGTAAAGTTGAGGATTAGTAAAAAGGCCTTTGGGGAGTACAATATTTAAAGATATCCCTTTTAAAGAAAATCAGTCACCAAGGAAAAATCATTGTGATTTGTGGTTTAAAAATGTGACAGTCATATTTAAGCAGTTGAGCAAAATTGATAGACCCTGTTGTACCCCCTTTCCCCCACAGTCCCAGGGGAGCCCACGGGGTTGCGTGTGATCAATGCCACCACAACCCAGCTCAAGGTGTGCTGGTCTCAACCCCTCCGGCCAAACGGAGTCATCAAGGGATATGCAGTATACCAAGGTCTGTACAGATAGATGCTGAAAGAAGATTAAATGTGTCATGTATTTTGTACCAAGATTGTCTATGATCATACGAATATAAGTGATGACCTCTTTTGCTTAAGTTTTTCAGTCTTGTCTTAAGTCTAATGTGTAGTTGTGTTTTCCAGGTAAAACTCAGACAGAGACCACACAGGAACTCAGCAGCATTATCTCTGGTCTACAGCCACAGACAACCCATGATATACATGTAGGTCATGTTCACTTTGTTCTGAAAAGAAGAAAATTCACACATTTTCATTCTCTCAAAAGACTTCAATTCTTTTGTTAACCCTTAAAAAGTTATCTTCAATCAACAGTTGTCAGATTTTATATTCACCTGTGTCAATTAATGTAAGAAAGCCCACCCTCTTGAAAAAGAATTTGAGATGTACTATTATGTTTCTATGATATTGTATTTGCTAAATATGCTTTTTTCCCTTATTGATTCTTCCATAATACAATGTATCTCTTTCGTTAATTTTACTGATTTTCTCTTTTCCTTCTCTACTCAACAGATATGTGCAATAACAAACAAAGGAAAAGGCCCTCGAGCAAGTGTCAAGGGAAGAACAGAAGACCTTGGTAAGTCTAAGATCATGTCATTTCATCATAATTACCAAATCCACTCTCTTGATTGTTCTGTAATTTTAGATTGTTGAAGTCAATGCTGTATGTTGTATATGATACTGTATCAAATAACAGTAAAAGTAACGGTTTATGTCCAGGTGCCCACGCTCCAGAGAAGCCGTCGCTGACAGTCCAGGGTCGTCACGAGGTGTTCGCCACCTGGGACCTGCCGGAGGTCCTGCTGGGCAGACTGACCAAGTTTGAGCTCCACGTGAACGGGAAGATCGTCTACTCCGGCACCGACAGGTCATTCAAGGTCACCAGACTCAAGCCTGACACCGACTACTCTGTCACTGTAAGTAATGACAAAATTAATGATTATTCTATTATCTCTTTTTTAAAAACTATTATGAAGATGACTTGTGCTGAGTTCTTTTTGACTTTGACTTAACTTACTGAGTTGTAACTTGTGTATGTTGTAAGACTCAGTTTGGAAACATGTGATGTGAAAATTGACACCTTTGCCATAATATTTCTTCAAATATAGGTTGTTGCCGTGACCAACCAGGGCAAGTGTGAGAGCGAAGCTGCCAAAGTACGGACAGCCAAGGACGAATGTACGTCACTGCTGTTCTGTTCAACTTGCTTCTCTATTATTTACATGTATGGATTGTGGCTATTCACTTGATCTACAGTACTGTAGGGCTGTATAACTGAATGTTATGTCATCATTCTTTCTATCAAAAAGACCTTGTACTGCATTTTCGATTAGTTTCACAGTTAACTCATAAGCTGTGAATATGTTGATATTGTTCTATTGTGCTATGCTAAACTGCTATGCTATGCTAAAGGAAGAAAGATGAAAATTTTGACCCTAATGATGAAGTGCCACCTAGCTGATTGCTGTAGAACAACAGGCCTACTGTCTTGGGTTTTGCCAAGTTTATCATATTTTCTGAAATGTTGCAGATTCCTCAGCCTCAGGAGGACCTCTGCATGTACCCAAGCAGCTCACTGTGGAGACAAAAGACTCTGATCAAGTCAGTGTTGGAGGTAAGGAGTTTCTTACACTGTTTCTGACAATACTTACAGTTGCCTGTCCTAATACTGTGCAAACTGGTACTGCAGCAACAATGTAGCAAAGAGACGTCGATCTGTTATTAGAAAGAGCCTAGTTGATTCCCCCAGGATGTCCATGTTCAAGAGAGAGAGAGAGAGTTGATGAATTCCAAGAAACTGATAACTTGTTATAAAGCATCGCCTACCCACTACTCACATTGTATTTCTGTGTGCTGTAGGAGGTTCCAAAAAGAAGATGAACCACACGTGGGAAGGACCCAAGATGAACCGAGTCAGCACACCAACCCGTGCACACAGGGTAGGTCGGGGAAAAAAGGGCCCCAGCTAACCACCATCTTACAGTGTCCTGTGGTCTCTTGTTAATACATAAAAATGAATTTAACATACACTGTACTATTGGGTTGGCTATACAAGAACATGTACATGTCTGTGGTACTATAGAATGATATATACTAACTGCATGGTGCAGAGGGTATTTTACAACACTCTAACAGACTATCACTGTCATTAAACAGCTCTCTACCTCCAAGTAAAGGAGATTTTATTTTGTCCGCTAACTGCATGCTATTTCACGCTACAAAGTTGTAACATGGGATATTTCATTCTTGTGCAGACTGAGCATGACCCTTGCCCTGGTGTGTATTTTTCAGGCCCGCAGGATGCAGGCTCTGTTCCTCGTACTGTCTGACTCTAACCGTAAAGTTAGTCTCTGTCCTAACACCCTTTCACATGCATGGGTAGATCATATGTCAAACATTCTGATTAATGACTATTTGCATGATATACCTGTTATGATGATTGCAATTGTCACCCAAGTAACAGACTTTTGATGGAGTTTTAACATTTACCTTGTTAATGCATGGATGACCATTTTTTTTATTCAATTTGATTAATACATTTAACCTTTTCTGACATTCAAAACTGCTGATTATACTAACCATGTGGAATGTGATTGATTCCTGTTAAAAATAATTAAGCATGGCAATAGTAATTTTATACCAGTTCCACAACAAGATGTAGTTGCTCTCTTACTATTGAACTGGGTTCTGATTTTGAATGGAAGATTCTAGACATTTTCTGATACAAACAACATGAAAATCTGAAGTACAGGACCTAAATCTCCTTTCAAATGACAAATAATTGAAGGGTATTCCATCTATAATACAGAGGAAGGGTGGTGAGGATCCCTTTTTTTATTCTTTTGTTACTTAAACGTTTAATTCTAACTCTATCTTTAACTTTCCTTCACCTTTTACTTTTCCAATTAACTGACCAATGCACCTTCTCTCCCCTTTATGACTTTTTTAAATAGAAAAAGCACCAATGAACTATCAGATCTGGAACAACAACTGGGATACAAACTTCAACCTTCAATCAGTTTGTCGAATCTGCAGAATATATCAAGTGGCGCAATGGTCACATGATCAATAAATAACACTATTAATTTTCTACATAAATTCCATTCATTATTTGAAGTATAGTCTGGTATGATATGCACATATGTATAGTTGTACACAAAAGTCATGTAGACAAAGCAATGAAGTAACTTGAATACACTGAAGTACGTGTACATCAACAAGATAACCCAGTAACAGTAACTAACACTTTTCACAGCCAGTTAGGCATCTGGCAATGTACCTAGTCACGCACTTCATCCTAACTGTACGCCTCATTAAAGCTGCCACATGCCTGCATGTACAAACAGACAGACAATGACACAAACCAAAAGGTCGCTTCTTGGCTTCCTCCCTATGAATTTTTCAAGAAAGTAGAAAAGGTGAAGGCCTCAGCAGTGTTGGCAGTTTTCCATCAAAACAGTGTGAAAGAAAGTTTCTCCTAATTGCCACTCTGACAGACAAAAAGCAAAGGTGGTGAAGTGTTGTAGAGTAGAGAAGTTGAAGGCCTCACCTGGCTTGGTTAAGTAGTTGTGTCAACATTTCTTTCACAATGGATACCAAACTGAGCGCAGAGACTACACAAAACACTCAAGACATAGTCATTTCAGCACACACCAAACTGTAACGCACCACCACTACATTTTTTGCTGACTTGAACACACCATCTAATTCACCTGTTCTGTCTCGTGTTTTGCGCCATAGGACCGCGGGAAAACAATGAGCGCCAGCAGCAGTGGTAGCGGTGACAGTAGGAACCCGGAGAGGGTGACCAGATCCAAGTCTTATGACTCTGGTTTCTCCGACTACAAGGTAAGGTTGGCTTGACTTCACACGGTGGTCAATCTGTTGTGTCCATGAGGTTTACGTTTCAAAACTGCGGGAGTTCCTTCAGTGTGGTTGTTAATGGAATTGGAATGTAATGAGCTGGAGTAGAAAGTTGAATATGTCCTTGAATGCAATATCATAATGATAATGTTAAATTTGAATCTATGTTGTATTCAGAGCATACATAATTATTCTAGGAAATGACTGTATGTATATTAAATTTGCATGAAACTGGTTGGTCTTAAAAGTCACAAAATGCATTGGCACCCTGTCTTTAGCAGTGAGTGCTACAGTCACATTGTCTGTTTCTTGTAGGATAAACCAGTGAAGGTCAAGTACACAACAAAGCCAACACCAGTGCTCCAGCCCCTCCCCATGGCCCAGGCCTCGTCCACAGACCTGGCTGAAGACCTCAACCCACAGTCATCACACATACAGGTAGAAGCTGTCAATCAAAAAGGTTATGAAGCCTTTGCCAGACAAAACCGACCCGAAACCCCAAAGGGGACGGGATCCAAGACTAAAGTACGGTCTTACTGGAAGGAGCCTGTGAAGAACTCAGAAATGTACAAGCCAAATGTAAAACTAGAAAAGCTGAGGCCGTGGCCACCAGAACTTGGGAACGGCAAGAGGGTGGTTTCACCGCCAAGTAGGAAAGACTCCTCCTCACCAAAACAGGAACAGGGTAAAGATCAGACTGTTAGGTACACTTCTCCAGCTAAAGTACAATTTATTGACAACAAGAAGGGACAAGACTCGAAAATGGTAGAAGATGAAGCAAAAAGACAAACAAGAACTCGTGAAAGACCAACTGCTGCTCGGCGTCCGAGTAGCCAGGAAACCGTGGAATCAAACGAAGGTCAAAGGACTCCAACGTCACCTAAAGTAAGGACGTTCTCACCCGATATTCCTCATCATAGGAAAGGGTCAGGGAACCACAGATATGTAGCAGCTAATTCTGAAACTGGAGATTCACAAAGGCATCACCGCGAGCATCTCTCCTCAGGGCACCAGAATCACTCGGACTTCAAGCGTTCGGCGACCTCTGGACGTGGTTCAACGTCAAGTGGTTCAGTGCACTATGTCACCATGGACTCATTTCCAGACAATGGTGGCGCTGGGCAAGAAAACACAGATGGTTTTCCTCCAGACATGGGAGACTTACCGGAAGCATTGATAGATGGGAGGACTTTTGAACCAGGTGGTGATTTCCGGAAGGGAAGCTGGGATTACAGAAGATCTTCTACAGAAGATGTCAGAACTGGGACTTGCATTGACAGTAAAGAGGGAAGAGTGTTCCACAGGTATACTTCTGTCTTTTGTTCTAGCTTGCTTTAGATACACATCCTAAGAAAACGATTTATTCGCTTCAGCAAAAATGTAAAAGAAAATGCCAAATGCTCCATACTTCATCTTTTTAATTGTTTAATGTTAACTGTACCTTCCTTAATCTACATGTATGTTGTATGTTTTGTCTGTGTCATTGTTTGTCTGTTAAAGATTTTTGTGTGGGAAAACCTGAAAAATGTCTTCCTTCCACAGTTTGTATTTTTCATGTTAACTGTCATCTAACAATGTGGTACGTTGTATTTCCCATACGGCTCAGTCTGTCTGACACAGAGAACACAAAAGGCACCAAGAAGTTTCGTGAGATGAGACTACCCCACCCTAACCCTATAACCAGGTAGACCAACCAAGCACAAGAACGATCGGATATGTCTTTTTTTTCCGTTTGTTTTCATCTCATTAAAGTCATTCTTTTCATGCATAACATTTCAGGACATGCTCAAGTGCAAGTTGCGGTGGATTTCTTTTTTTATTTGTCCTATTTGTTTTGTTTTTTTCATGCATAACATTTCAGGGCACGCTCATGTTATTGTGGCTTTACAACCTTCCTTTACTCTCAATTTGTTTAACTAACAAAGTCCCTTTCTATGTGTGAACATCAGAGGGCTGTGGTTGTTCTTGTTTTTCTGGTTTTATTTGCAGATTTCATGGGTGCTGGTGTGGCCATATCTTGTTTTTTGCAAGAAGTTTTTATTTGGTTCTTATCATACCTAACATCATACATCTGCTATAACTCTCTTCACCTGAGGTATATCATTATCATACTGTTTGTGACATTTTTGTTGTGACATTTTTGTTTCTCACCATCCTTACATCAGCACTCTGCTTAAATTACTCAAGAGTAATATATTATGAACTCTGAGTTGATATGTAACCATCATATTTCAAAGATTTATGCCTCTGCTTGTGTGCATAGAGTTATAGAAAATAGAGTAATAAAAACTTTTAGAATCATACGCCACATCTAACCTTTGATAAATTTTACTCCGTCACTGATGATTACCTGGTTTGTTGTACATACCATCTTCTGAGAGTTTGAAAAACAAAATGTTTAATGTCATGCTATGACTGTTTTGCAGAAGAACACAGGATCCTACTGTAGAGATTTCAGTTGGGAAAGGGTTTGCAGCAGTACCCAGTAGTTATGTACAGAGGACCGAGGCCTTCATTAAAACACACAGGTAGGGTTTGTTACAATCAGTATACATTTTTGTATCTTATCATGCATGTAGATATTAGCTTATAGTTATACATTACAGAATTAATAGTTACCTTTTTTTTAAAGTTTACGAATGTCAAACTGGCAATGTCTCCTCAGCCTTGTGGCTTGCATTTTTGTTCTGCAGTAATTTGGTACACACTGTTGTTTGCATTCAAGATATGTTTAATTTTACAATAATGTTGTAAGCTTTTTTTCATCTTAAACTACAATCTAAGCCAAAGACAGCCTACCCTGGGAACTGAGGATGTAGATAGTTTATAACATTTAGTCTACAAAAAACTTAGTACTAGCATGTCACTTATCACCAGTTGTTTGTCTTTACAGACCAGCGGTAAGAAAGTCCCTGATCTCCCACTACCCCCCTACCCGAGTCGTCCCACCCCCCAGCCTGGCAGGAGGGGGTAACAAGAGCATGTGGCAGCCTGAGTTTCCCTCCCGCCCCCTGGAGAAGAGCAACTCCAACAAGTTTGTGCCGATGCAGTACAGAACCCAGCCCCTCAACATGCCCACACCCGGGCTGCACAGGGAGGGCACCATCCCCAACCTCTTCAGCAAAAGTAAGACAAGGGCCCTTTTTTATTAACATTTTCCTACATGTACAGTATATTTTACACTGTCAAAAAGTAGTAGATGCTACTTGAAACGTCTGATGGTTTTCAAAATTTATCCAGTTCCTTGAGTAAAAGGTGTATCTCATTACCTGGATGTTAAACCTTCATCAACATTTCCTATATTTTCTTCAGAATTGTTAAGAAATTACAAGTTTTTTTTACATGAAAAATGAACAGATGAAGCACTTGATTTGTCAGAGAATGTTATTTCCTAGTCAAAAGAGTTTCTCATTATCTGTAAGTTAATAATATGTAATTCTTTATGATATGATTGCTTTTCTGTAAGCTATTCTGAAGTAAGACCTCGTGTCTGTCGCTAGGTGCATTCCTGCAGAAGTTAGAAGCCCTGGGATACACTGGGTCCCGAGCCAACCTCAGACCCATGTATGACGGCACATCGGAGAAGAAACCTGGTGCCAAGGCAGCTGCAACTGAGAAGGATAGGTGGGTAGTATGTTACCATCATTATCATTTTTAACCTTTCTGGGGGTACAGAGGCCACCACGTTACTGTATCACATTTACAAATGTACTTTCGTTGAAGATGTTAACTGCAGTTTGGAAATAGTGTTTTCTTTACTTATACTCAGTGGGGCCATTAAATAAGGATGTAAATCTTGTTTTGGCTGTTTGATACAAAAAAGTCTCAGCTTTTTGTGAATTAAAACTTAGCTGTAATGCCTTATCCACAGGTCACCTCCAGCCCATCTAAAGACCAGCAAAGATCCACACAACCACGCCTCCTGTCAGTACTCTCCGGCACTGCAGCACAGCCTGACGGCACACCACAACAGACATGCAGTTCCTGTGGTCACCGAGTCTGTCTGTGTACCTGCTACCTCCCCCTCCCCTGATCATGTACTACAGAGCCCCAGTTGACACTGAGTTGTGCTTTTATCTTATCTTAATGTTCATTCCACAACATAAGAAGAGTATGGGTGACCCAGTGTTCTTGGCTGGAATGTGGAAAAGCTGCATTGCACTATCAGCTACCACAATAGAATTACGCTTTGTCTCAAGCATTACCCTTTGAGTGAGAACAACATGACTTCTATGAAAGTCACAATGAAATAGTCTTTTCATCACAGCATACATGTACTCTCTCAGGCAGCTAAAAGACATTTCATACTGTAAACCCCATGAGACTCTTAAAGGTTTAAAAGCTGCTATTATTTATAATCCTTTTACTACATCCTAACATGTCAAGAAGTGTATTGACAGGAGAATTGCAGTACTGCCACTATACATTCCAACCTACAGAGTGAGATCATGACTTGAGTAAAGAGGTACATATGACATGAATAATTGTGTTCAGCTATAAATATTGCATAAAAAAAATTAACTCAACAAGATATTGTATTAACTTCGTGATCTAAGATAATTTTACAATTATTTTCACACACACCACCTCTCTTTTGTCTGCCCAAGGTCCATTTCATTTGTACATAATGAGAAAGTTGTATATATCTTGTAGGCCACTCTATTTCTTTTAATATAAAACTTTATATTAAAGTTTTTAACTGAATGTAATTGTAGCCAGATGCACTTGTTCAAACAAAGTCAAGCAGAAATGTTTTATTGAAAGTACTTAATACACCTGTTACAAACGTCATGTGAATAAGACAAAAATCATGACATGACAATATACGACATATAATGTTACATGTAATATGCAACTTTGGTGTCAAATTTAAATGTATTTTTTATTCCTTTTTATTGTTAAGGAAATGCAAATACCTAATACACCTGTTACAAACGTCATGTGGATAAGACAAAAATCATGTGAACTTCTGTTGCATATGACATATATTTACATGACATATATATGACATATAATATGCAACTTTGGTGTCAACTTTAAATGTATTTTTTATTCCTTTTTATTGTTAAGGAAATGCAAATCAGTGTTGAATGTATATAATGTGGCATGGTTGACAAATACTGTAACAGGAATATGGATGTAAAGGAGATACAATGTACATGACACAATGTAAATGCAAGCATATCTTTATAAATGGACTGTAACGGTTAAAGGAATAAACAGTTCCAATGTCCATGTGTGCGAGTGCTTTTATGGTTAAATATTTGCTTTTGCCCCACACGTGCTGTAATTCTTCAATCACACGTGATTCACGTGAAACGAGAGAACAAAGCATTCTGTTCATGCATCTGGATTCTTAGGATTTCAGTGTGTATTTAATTGTACACAGTTTTAGTCTAGTTCAAGTGGGATATAAAAGCTACATGTACACCATAGACACATTTTGTATTTTGCACCACAGTTAAAGCATGTAGAATGTGGATATACAGGCTCAGAAATAGGTGGCACTTTTCAAAGAACAAAAGCAGGTCAGAGGTTGAACAGGAGACAAGTGTCCTTGATTATATAACTTTGCTGTTGGTCTATACTTTGTTGTTTGGCATACTAACCCCTTTACGAGACAAGCCTACATATTTTAGGTCAGTACCTTATATATCACTGTTGTTTCAGAAACAGGCATAGAACAAAAGCAGGTCAAGAGTTTATAAAACTTGTCATTGAGACAAAGCAGACCTGGGGTCCTTGAATGTGTTTACCCTTTGTCTATACTTCGTTGTTTGACATACTAACCCTTTTATGGAACCATAGCTTGGCAGGCTTGCATTTTTCATAGGTCACTTAACGGTCACTAGTGTGAGTTCAAAGGGAAGGTTATTTTTAGGAACAAGCATCATCGCAGCTTGATGTGGCATGTGAGTACTGTCAGGCTGTTAGGAGTCGCTGACTTGTGATGTTATCGACCTACATTGTTAAATGCTTAAATCTTTAGCAACATTGACTACTGACTGCCATCCAAGAAAACCAGGACTGGTGTTACCAGTTTGAGCTCGTTTTGTTTGAACTATCAGCCAACAGGTAAGTACATGCAGGCTTCAGTTTCCAATAATCCTGTGGTTGTTTGCAGTTGGCTTGAGCCTGTGAAGCATGTAATATGTCAAGGACAGTCAGAAAGCCAGAAATTCAACTCAGTTGTGGTACACACCAAGGGATTGGAGCACATATCATACATAAGAGAAAGATTTATAATTTCATGTAGCTTGATTGTAGTCAATCTGACTAGTCCTAGAAATGGCTGCCAGCAATGTGGCAGGTTATACATGTAAGTTATACATTTTGCCTTGTTGTTAAGAACACTTTAGACTAATTGCAGTGAATTTTTGTGCTAAGGTAAGAAATAAGAAAAGGACAACAAAAAACAATTCCCCGTGGATATTGATGGACTAGTCTCTAGTAGAGTGTTTTGGTGTGTTATTGTAGTAGGAGATATCCATCATGGAAGACAGCCATTTGAAGCCCTCCATGGATCTGGCAGCACAGCTCCAGGCCCAGCCAGGTGACAGGATCTCCTACCATGCCTGGTCCAGGTCAGACAACGGCCTGGTCGAACATCACAGCATCTATGTCGGGCAGGGGAAAGTGGTGCATTACAAGGACGAGGAACAACTTGTACGTGGAGTAAACATCAATCAACCAATTTCAATGCACAGTGGCAAGTTGATAAACAGTAACATAATAAATTTAAACAAAGTCTAATGTCTTTTATTCACGATTAACAAGAACTGCATGCTCAAGTAAGAGGCTCAGTATAGTAACTGCTTTTTCTTCGTTTTGCAAGTATAAATTATCTCAGGTCATAAAGACAGTTTTAGCACACAGCTGTCAGGCCTTGTATTCATGATCATTATGACTGTAACAGCTAGTACTAGTGTCTTTGGCAACATTGAAATTTTCTACGTTAGCAATATGGGTAAATGTTTCCCTTTGCTCATAAATTAGGCTGCTGAGCACATGTGGACTATGCAATACTACATGCAGTACATGTACATGTAATACTACTGCCTGATAATAATACATAATAATTTCTAGGGCTGATATGTGTTACTCTTTTTCATACATGTTGTTTGTACTTGCAATTAGCCCTTGGGTATGTATTTGCAATAAACTCTTTCTTGTATACAAACTAAATTGTGTAGTGATTCAAAACCCTTCTAAAGTCTATTGTTTCAGGTGGTGCAGACCTGGTTGAGTCATGTGGCTGCAGGTGGTAAGACCACACCTGTCAACCTGAAGGGACCGTTCACGACGTACTCGCCGGCGGAGGTGGTGAGCAGGGCGGAGAGACAGGTGGGACACTCCTACAGATACGACATCACCTTCCCTAACTGTCACAGCTTCGCAAACTGGTGCCAAACTGGGAAGGAGCAGACTGGAAACACTCCGGTAACTATCATATATATACGTTGAATAGTGCTTAGAAATATCACAGCTTTTTAAAAAATGGAAGATATTACAGATTGATATGGCCAATAAATGACTTACAGGACTCCCAAGGAAGTGCTGTTAGTTGCATTCACACCTGAAAGTCGCTGCCCTATCAAAATGCATGATTGCTTACATTTTACAAGAGACTATTCTTATCAGCTGTGTAGGATGTCTTGAAAAATATTTTTAAAACTTAATGTAAAAGCTTAATACATAGGTACATGTAACATACTTGAGTCATACAACAATGCAAGACTCTCAATATCAGTCTACAACAAAATATGACTACATGTTATACCGTAGTTTGTAGTTGGTAGTAGTGGAGAAAATATTTCTTACCAGGTTGAATTTTGTCAGAAGTGTACTTTACAGTTTACTCAAATGCTACTATTCCACATTTCCAGGTTAAGACTTACATTCTGGGCCTGGGTACTGCAGCTGTTGTTGCCTTCACCCTGCATCACTTCTTGAAGTAAGGATCATTGGACAAGGCTGTCAACTACCTGAGCCTCTTGAGGAATGATGCAGATCTGATGTCACTCAGCTCAATGGACACAAATTGGACTGCCAGATAATGCCTCAATCTCCATGGGTAATACCCACAAATAACCCCAGCTGGGGAAAGTAGGGGATGATGTGAATGTCATGTTATGTCACAATGTGATATTGTGGATGGATATTTATGAGAATTGATATGTGTGGCATCTGCAGAAAATCTTGTAAAACATTAATGGATATCAATTACTTTCTGAGGAAGTGTTAGTACACATGTACATGTATAACAATAATAAAATAATAGTTGCAAATTACTGCAGTGTTACTAGTGTAACATTAGAGAACTGTGCATCTCACATTCAAGTTAGACCCACTGAACAAAGACACACTAAAATTCCATGTAGGATATACAAAGCTAATTTAATACATGTAAACATCACACTCTTCCAGTTCTTTTGTGTTGTTATGTACTACTCAACTGGTGCAAAAACGAATGAAAAAGGTTGACATGCTTGTACATTTCAAATGAACTTGTACAGGTTATCACTCAAGTCAAATCCAAATTCAAACTTTCAGTTGGTCTCTCACAAATTAATAACAAAAGTTCAAATACACAGTGACACACGAAGCACACAACTACAACATATGTATGTATTAAGAAACCCAGAATTGAGACTGATATCACAACGGTCTTTGTGTTTGTGAAGTTGTAGCTGTGAAACATCTACATGTTTGCCAAATTTTGATGTGAATATTGTAATCTGTACCTACTGAACTGATACTAATAAGTGTAACTGTAAGTATGGGGTTACCTGACATACTACAATGTACAATCTATCTGAACTGCATATTCCTCATGCATAAAGCAGCATTGGCCTTTGCAATGCATTCACTGAGTACAATCTGTGGACTCTGCTATTGAGGCAAGTTACAACAAAGCAAATTAAGTCCACAGCTTTAATGGTTGACAGACAATTGTAACCTATCACACATGTGAAATTAAGGTACTCTTGTAGTCATCTACACAACCCATCACAACTGATTTCAGCCAAATAATGTAACAAATAGTTGATATACATGTACATGTATGTAACACAGCCTGCACTTCATCCAACATGGTATCTTTACCGAATGATAACAACATAAAGAGCAAAAATTGATAACTGTCACCTCACACATCCTGTGTACTTAATATACAGTCAGGCAGTTGGAATCCTTGCTAACATGTGTTATGCCTTGCCGGTAGCTTTAGCCTGGGCCTGCTGAAACTGCTGTTGAAGAACCGTCAGCTCCTTTCTGCTCTTCTCTTGTTTCTCTTCAAAATCCTTAATGGTTGCGTCTTGTCGTTTACTACAAAACACAAACAAATTCGTATATCATCTACATTTTTCGAATTGTATTATTGTCATGTCTGAGACTTTGGAATTTCAATATTTTCTTATCTTTTTTGCCCATGGATTGTAAGGCACTTTGATTGTTTTGTACATGTACTGTACTTCTTGTTTTACACTAAGGCAACATGAACTGTAGCTTGGTACTTGCAGTTAATTTTTGCTAATTAATGTTTAATCTATACATACATCCTACGTACTGCTGCGCAATTCAATAGTTCTGCAATACGTCAAATATCCAGAAACATGTACATTTGTACTTACATTTCCCCTTCAATATACTCTATTCTCTTGCCGACATTGGCCTTGGCCTCCTCCAGGTCTTGTTTGACCAATACCGGTCCTGTCAGCTTGTACACGTTAGCATCTGTCTCCAGGAGTTCCAACTCCTGTGGGAGACCAACAGTGTACTTATATGTGAGACCACAAATTACAGATAAACAACATCATGGTAAATACTACATTACAAATACAATATAATCAATTAGCATATATACTATAGGGGGATCTGGCAATGCATAACACAAATGTGTTAGTCCATAATCTACTGAAAGAAACAGATTTACATAAATTTCATCTTTGTTTTATTCTTTTGGAGGGGAAAGGACCATCAACATCAACATACCTATACCAAAGCAGTTGCAATGAAGGATGACCAGTCAGACTCTCAGAGGTTCAGTCAGGACAGAGAATTTCCTTGTTTGGAGTTGATAGAGATTGTCATCAAATTTTATTTATCATATTCAAGAACCACATGAAACTGTAACACCTCACCTCTTTCACAATTTTGTTTTCGTTCAGCTGTACATCCAGCTGGTTCCTTGTCGATGCTGTCTTCTGTAGGTCTGTCAATTTACATAAAGTAAAAATTTCGTCATATTTTTAGAAAATCGAAACTTACAAATTATTCTATATTGGCTGTCAATCTAGCTATAGAAAATCATGTCTATATCTAGAGAGTAACACTGACGTGTGGCAATACTATACATATTTTAATAGAAAAAACTACATCGTACGTAAACGTACTAACCACCACAAGCTACATAGCTACATTTAGGTAATTCTGCTTCAGCCAAGGGCTAAACCGACACATGACCGAGCAAAGGAAAATGTGCTGCCCGTGCTAGTTCTGCCCCCCTCCCCACACGTGTCTTCGCCTCTTGCTGGTTCAATCCGTCTGTTTCGCACGTTTTTTGCGCTCATGAGGGTAGCTAATGTAATAAGGGATCACCACATGCTTAATTCCCGACGTTACCTTTCTGAACTCCCTGAAATTCCTTCAGTTTTTTCTCCAACTGGTTCCGCATTGTCTCCATAGCCGCCATGGTGATGATGATGATGAAAAGTGGTACAGTCCATGGAGGGACAGGGGTCATTGACCCAGAGTAGAAATCTTCAAGCAGATGTTGGGGGTAGAGCCTAGGATAATAAAATGAGGAGGCATAGAAGATAAATCATATGCACTGTAGGCAGCATGTAAAAGTATGGTTGGTAAATGTTCCTTGACCATATTAATCAGTAATATTCTGCAATCAAGACAGACACAACATTATATCATTCATAGGATATTTCTTTATTCAGTGAATTCAATTCATGTTGCTAATGCTTTATATCTCTGTAAGTGATTTGGGTACACTTTTCTTCTTATTGCTTAAAACTTACATGTTCTGTTGTATTTACAAGAGACAACATGTTGTCTTTCACATTTCTATTGCACCTTTCTATCATGTTGTTTCATGCCAGAAAGCATTTTACAGCTGCCTTTGCAAACACTCTGAATCCCCGTCAGGGGTTGTTTCATCAGAAGTCCAAGTACACCAAGTCAATGCTAACTCCGGACCTTTGAAAACAAAAACCCTGATAACCTAATCAACAACAAAATCATCGTAATAATGAGTTTACCCTGGAGTTTTATTTTATGCTCAGTTACTATCAGATACACCAAGTTGTATTTCAGAATCGTGATTGTAAAGTAAACAGTAAAGGAAATAGCACTGTACATTTGACTCATTTGGCAAGTTGCTCCTTTTTCAATATGTTACCGAATTCATGCTTAGCCTAGGCTGCAATATTCAATGCCCCCATAACTAGCCAGGATACTTGTATGGATAGTGGGGATGCCACCAGTGTAAGACCTGAATGCTTTTTACTGGGTCCAGAATCACTCTTTCCCCCAGCATAGCTGAACAGTTAGCTTTAGTCCTGGCCCTGTTTGAACCATTAGCTGCCTTTGGTTTCTTCCTAGTCATGCACAGCTGATCTGAAAAGTGCATCATTATACAATGGTTCTGCATGTTTCCACTGAGAGCAAGTTTGATGTCAGCCATGACTTTTCCCATAACAGTTCCCGGGACAGCAATATAGTGTGGAGCCACGATGCGGAGTACGCAGTAACCGTCTTCTGGGTTCACCAAAGCGTCGTCATTATCTTCATCCACATCCCACAGCCTCCTCCTCCTCCTCCTGGGATGGTAGATGCCACCTGGTGGCCGGCCGGGGAGCTGCAGCTTGAAGTAGAAGACCCAGACGTCTCGTATGCCCGACTGAGTGGAGAGACAGGTGCGGCCCTTGGAGCACCAGCTGTACAAGCACCTGCTGCCGATGATGCCATTGAACCTCTCCTGGTCCACAGGTGCTCTGGTGTTCACCTGCAGCTGGAAAGGTGTGTACAGGTAGAACAGAGACCGGACAACACAAGTCCGCAGACACATGGTTCTCTCCATACACTCAGGCTGCAGACGTTCAGGCAGCTGAGCAGAGGACGAGTAGTACCTGTTGTAGAGCCTTCGCCAGAAGCCGATGGTTTGAGTAAGATGCCAGGTATTTCTACAAATTGCAGCAAACCTTCCAATATCCTCTGGCCTGATGTAGGGAGCAAGTACAAACCACAGATCCATTGGATACTCAACTTCAGGCTCTGAACTGTCTTGTACTTGCCTGTGTTTATTGTTAAGTTGGTTAATGCTAGTCAAGTTTTCTTCAAGTTCAAGTTCAGTGTCACTGTCACTCCCTGCATGGATGTCTCCCTGGTCACTGTCCCAGTCTTTCTCATACCAGGGGAGTGAGTCTTCCTCTTCCATCTTCAAGGTTTCTGACGGCTGGACGTGACAGAGAGCCTTGGCTTGCCGGACGAAGGCGTTAGCCTCGCCCTTGCCGAGCCTCCCAGATGGAGGGTGAGTAGTACCGTCGGCGTCGGCAAACTGTTGAAGTGTCACGTCTGCTTCTGTGCCCAACTTTGCACGCCTCCTCCTGGCCTTCTTTCCTCTCTTCGGCATGTCCTGGTTGTCTCTGTATCGTGACACACATGTCAGCTTCTACACTATTGACTTCTGTAGGCTTCAGCGACAAGTTTTTAAGGGTAAAGATGATATATTTTGAGGGGAGGGAGCAAACTCCCACTTTCAGGAGCCCATGACGCTTGGACGTTTCTTGGGTCGAAACCATTAAGATAAGTGGAAAATCAACGCATTTTTGCAGTGACAAAATTGACACAATTTGCCATAAATTTGTATGTTTTCAAAATTATACTAATTTTACAGATATTTATATTCAAAATCTGTTTGACTTTGTATTTCTTTGACTGCATTAAAGCTAATATTGTAGCTTCCTCTACTTCCAATCGGACCCTATCGGACAGAGTGGTTAGCTCCATTTTGGTTCGACCCTTGACCTCAATCATTTTTATGCAACCTTGCTCACAACAGGGGTTATATATTGCCCCTCTCTCACTCTCTACGAAGGATCACTACTATCAAACTTTTACCAGTGGATATCTAAGAAAGCTGCCGACAAAATGAGCTCCTTTTCCTTGAGTAGGGTTACGTTACAGTGCGTCAGGAAAGGGTCACAGGTAAGGCTATACATGTATTCATATTGATACATGTGAAGCTCAAAGCTTAAGCTAGCTTTGTATTATACTGCTAGTAAATTGTATGTAGTACGTTATATATTTGATATTTGCACATCAGAGTCACACTTTTTGTTTTGCTTTTTTTCAGTGTGGCTTGTTTGCAGCAAGGACCAGTAATTTTAGACCAGGTAAGAGTCATAAAATATGTGTTGTTATTATTCATCACAGACGCCAGACTCACAGGTACATGTACTTGATGGTAATGATTATGATGTTTCCCAATCATAGCCGATGATGGTAAATTATTACCACTTGCCCTATCATTCTCCATGCATCATAAGTTGACATCAACAAAAATTGTCTTGCTATAATTTTATCGAGACAGATGTCCGACCCATCTATCTATATATTATTATAGAACATTATATTTCATATATGGGACCACTGAGATAAGTACTACTGATTCACTCACCGTTTTATATAATGTACCTCTATCTAACTTTTCTAGGATGAATGAAGTGTTCTCTCTATTCCGCAGGTACAAGATATGCCAGTCAGACCACGTCCCGGTCCAGTGCCCTCCCCCCTCCCCATGCCTGGTTCCTCCTGTCTATCCCTGCTGCAGCCTTCGGGCTGGGCACATGGCAGGTCCAGAGGAGACAGTGGAAGTTAGACCTGATCAAAGACATGGAGGCCAGGACTAACCGATTGCCTGTTCCCATACCTACTGAGTGAGTAAGATATACATAGTGTTCTAAAATAGCCCTAAGTGCAGGATATCAGGATTTTCTTCCACAACCAGTATGTTTCTCACCTGCTCATGTTTTGACGCCTGTCAGATATCTTCCTCAGAGCTTCTGTTTGACAGGCAAGTGAGAGACAATGCCAGTTGTGTAAGAAGAAAATCCTGATATCCTATGTCCTACCAGCCTCATGAAATTATTTGAGCCTATACGTGTTTAATGTACATAATAGTCTATTTTATATGTGCTGAGATGGTCAATGGCACAAATTAAAGTTGTTTACTCAATATAATTAAAGTGTGAATGTTTGTGTCCACTTTTCAGGCAACTGGAGCTTCAGACAATGGAGTACAGACCAGTCAAAGTGAGAGGCAGTTTTGACCACTCCAAGGAGATGTACCTGTTACCCCGTTCTCTGAACACCCATGACACAGGAGGGGGGATGGGAGCCAGGGCGCAGTCAGGGGCTCAGGTGGTCACACCCTTCCACTGTGCAGATACAGGGTGAGAGCTCTTCACATCTTTGGTACATGTTGTACATGGTAATTCTGTTTGCCCCATACATGACAATGTAGCTTAGTAGACGTGTAATGTATCAGTCTACTACAGCATTTGATGCCAAAAGACTGCTATAAATAATAAGTATAAAATTAAATGTCCTTGTATTCTGTGAAAATTGATAGCCCTGTCAACATGCAAATAATATCAGCCTTTTGTTTGTGTTAATTTTACGATATTCATTGGAAGACCTCGAGCACAATGAAGAGTCAAAAGTTATGCATTTTTATGATTTGATCTTTGATTCACATGCAGGAGGACAATTCTAGTGAATAGAGGATGGGTGTCCAAGAAACATATCAACCCAGCAACAAGACCAGATGGCCAGGTCAGTACTTCATTTTTAACATTATATCATATGTCTATTAATTGTGTACAAGCTGGTTAGTAAACCACAGGTTCTCACAGATGTTGTTAACTTCCACTGCAGGTTACAGGAGAGGTAGAAGTTGTTGGTCTAGTGAGGCTGAATGAAAAAGGTGAGACTTTTTTTACCTCTTAGTATTTACACAATAAACAATGCATTGCTTTTAGATATCACTAAGTAAAAGACCAGTGGCAATTGGCTGATGTTTTATATCTACATGTACATACACTGTATATGGAAGACAATTTTTCCTTCCATTTTGAATGTTGGTCCTTTTGATGTATTATTTTGTTGTTGTTTCATTCCCCCAGAGAGCACCATTTGTCCCAAAGAATGACATCGCACACAACAGATGGCACTTCAGGGATGTGGAGGCCATGGCCCAGATAACAGAAGCACAGCCTATCTTCATAGAAGCAGTTGGAGGTAAGACTATCAGTTTCGTTCTGAAAGTGACATCTTTAAATTCATTTTGAAGACTTCATCTTTGCTCTCTTAAAGCTAATATGCACTTTATTTCTATTGGCAACTGTTTGTACTTCAGAAGCCTCAAATGTAGCTCACCATTTCAAACAAGAACCTTTGCTGTCATTAAATACCAATGATTGTAGAATGTTAGGAGTTATTGAGTATCTGTTGAATTATGTTTTCTTGACAGGAAGCACAGTGCCAGGTGGACCCATAGGAGGGCAGACTAGGGTGCAACTTAGAAATGAACACATGCAGTACATCCTCACATGGTGTGTATAGACTGCTGTATCTTCTCAAAATCTCTGCCTTGTAACAGAATGTCATGTGGCTTTTGTTCCCTAGTTTTCTGTTACGGTTTCACTACCATTTGACATTCATCCAGATTTTCACACTACCATATACAGTCCATTCAGTACTGTCATATTTCAGTATGGCAGAAAACATACCCCTCAATTTGAATACATTTTACCCAGTTTATAGTTCATGGCAATGACATGTTTGTTGCCTTTCTTCCAGGTACTCATTGGGCATCTTGACTGCCTTGGGATGGTACTGGACCTACTTCAAGAAAGTGCCAAGATAAGGGTGTTTCCTGTATAGGAGAAAAGTGACTGATAGGCAGGATCCCAACCTTCTGAATGACCAGCAACTTTCTGAGGCAAATATTTATGCATAATTGTATCCAATAAAGTGAACAGTGTAGGTATTTAATCAAACATTGCCTTTCTCCACTACGACAAGTCATGTATATCTACAGATATTTTCATAAATTTATGGATACATTTATAATTTACATCGCCATGGCATTTACTGTTTCTCACCACCACATCCAACCCACCACTATCTGGTAAGTTTAGAGTCTTGTCTGTATCTTTACTTATGTATAAAAGGAAAGAAATAAACTCTCGATCCAGACTTTGCTAATTGTCTCACCCAACTTTCTGCCTATTTGAATTGATGAAACTGAAACCATTCAGACAAGTACAAAAGACCATGTTTGGGATGGAAATGTTTATTACATTTTTAGAGCTTCTCTGATAAATCTGTGGATGTCTATCCCATCTTCTGAGCAAGCTCCTTGGCCTTGGCCTTCTCCAGCTTCGCGATGCGGGCAAGGGACTTGTTGCCCATGACACCACCGCCCCAGTGCCGCCGGATCTGAAACATGAAATAGAGATACTCAACAGATGTACTTTTTCTTACAACGAATCTAAGACATGTCCTCACAGTATAAAAATACTGCAAAGACAAGGTGGTTAGATGAGATGAATGCTCAGAATTACCCACTTGGTAACAACAGTTATCAGTTCTGACAAAGCGCAACAGTGTCATCATAGCATTCGTGACAACAAACCCTGATAAGATTATCCAGGCTGTAATGTACCACATACTGACCTCGTCAAATCTTTCGTTGTAGTTGTTCTTGACAGCGTCAATCAGCTTTGCTAGTTGTCCCTTGTCCTCACTATACGATTGTCAAGAAAAAATCAAATTAGATCTTTTCGGAAAGAAACCCATCACCCAAAAAGCAATGGCTTATCTAGTGCAATGGCATCTAAGGTTACTGACATGACTAGTAGTAGAAATTGCATACATGACAACAAAATGATGTTGAATGTGGCTGCTCAGTATTAAAAAGCTCGATTTTTTGTTCTTCAAAAATTTTCAGGTGAAGAAATTCATACATCACAGCAGCCCTGGAACCACAATTTCTTCAGAATCCAGGAAAAGGATATGTTGATCTTTAAGTACAAAAGCAATGGCAAGAACATGCTGAACTTACGGATTGACTTTACTGAAGGCTACGCAGGTGCAGGTCTTGCGGTGCACCAGTCTGCCCAGACGGGCCTTCCCTTTCACGATGCAGTAGGGAACGTTCATTTTCCGACAAAGGGCTGGCAGGAACAGCACCAACTGTTGGACAGAAACACAATGAATGATGACATGTACTACATGTGTCTAAGCAAGGAAAGAATTCAACCTCCCACAGTGGGTTCCTTGGTAAAGTTATGGTTTTGTTGGCTGCTCAGCATTAAAAAGCTCGTATTGTTTTGTTCAACACAACACTTCAGGTGAAGAAATTCATACATCATAGCAGCACAAGGAACAAACAACATAAAACAAAAAAATTTAATCAACCCTTCATCATTTATTATTCTCTACAGAGTTGGACCTCATACTTTCAGTTTCAGCATGCTGTAAAAGATCGAATACTGGGCTAATTTGTGTTCTTAACTAGATGGCTAGTCCATACCTCGATAGGGTCGACGTCATGAGCTATGACCACCAGCTGGGCCTTCTTGGACTCCACCAGAGTGGTGACCGTGTTGACACCAGAGCGGAGGACAGGGGGGCGTTCTGTCGGGACGTCTTCCTTCCCGGACACACGCTTCTTAGCACGCTCCAACAGACGCTTCTTACGTTCGACCTTGGTCTCGGGGCGGTACTTTGTAGCGAGGCGGAACAGCTGAGTGGCTGTAAAATCATTAGGAATACATTTATTACTACAAGACTGGTAAGCACAGTCTTGCATATAACACTGACCTGTCAATCTACAAAATTCTTTTGATAAAAGATTTGTACACTTTATTAACAAAGCTAAAGTAAAAGCACCATGATACAGAACAGCCTAACTTTGCACTCCTAAAAGTTACCATATCAATTTTACAATACTTATGGCATACCTTTATAGATAAAATCTGAGGATCATTAGTACAGTATAGGAAATACAAACTCTCAATCGAGCATAAAACTAGAGTAGAGGCCACAGTATTCAGATCGGCGAGTGAAGATAAAAGTTTTCCTCACCACACGAGTGTGAATTGGACATCCTTTCATCATGTACTGTGGTTCAAATACTAGCTGATGTTTTTAACAAATTAATTGTACCCGAACATTTTAACATTTTGGGAGAAAACACTGTTAAACCCAAGATTGCTTTTATGCCATCATTGAAATTGTAACTTAAGTCCCAAAACTACACCAGGTATTGCACTCTAAAACTAAAAGAATTACAACATCCTCAGGTTTTTAAGAAGACACAAAGAATGCACTCATACCTGTCTGCCTGTCCAGTGCCTGTGTGAACTGGTTGATGGGTGGTGGAACCTTCAGACGCTTGTACAGGATCGCCCGCTGACGCTGGAGCCGCACGTACTTTGGCCAGCGCACGAAACGGCTCAAGTCTCGCTTCGGCTGGATGTCCTGGCCTGTCAACACATGCACATTTATTGTTACAACAAGTCAGTTTTTTTACTTCTTTGGTAGAAAAGAATGACACTTTCTTGAAGTATTTGTGCCTCAGCGATCTTGGTGGTTGGGGTTGATATCAGTGACGCATCAACTAGCAAATATTGGTGATCATCACTGGCACATCTCACAAACTACATGTGTATGTATAAGCAACCAACATTTAACAACATGACTTATAAATAGTTCATACCGATGCCATAATTGCGAGGCCTCTTCTCGAACAGAGGGTTCTGTTCCTTCTTCTTAGGCTCAGCTTTCCTGGCCACCGCAGGGGGCGGAGCCACCTTCTTCCCCCTCGAGCGAGCTACTTTTCCCTTCGGCTGGGGAAGGAGAGATGATACTTATCATTAATGAAACTGTGGCTGAGATTCACATTTCACACCATAATTTTTGTAATGCATCTAGAGATACCATTTAAATACCAGGTTTTAAACTTGTGTTGTCAAAGCTTTTGTGTTGTATTTTACTATAAATAACATGCCAATACTTGGGAGACAGGCATCTGAATTAAGTGTTCGTACAAGATATTGTACAAAGTTGGTTTAAAAATTTAATTTGTCTGGTCATGTAACATAACTTCATAAGCTAGCTTCTCTTTCTTTCGGCCACAGTAATCAGATCGGCGAGTGAAGATAAAAGTTTTCCTCATCACACGAGTGTGAATTGGACATCCATTCATCATGTACTGTGGTCAAAATACTTGATGACACTTCTTCATAAATTCTTCCTAAACACTTTACTTACTATCAACACAAGAATATCTGAGATTCTTACATTTAAAAACAGGAGTTCACAAAATATAATTTGCATCTGAGAAAATAATTTGGGGCGCTACACTACTAGACTGTATACTACACAGGCGAAACGTTTTATCTCTTCAACACTCTCGAGCTAGCCGTACAACACTTAATATCGGTTATCTACAAACGCACGGTGGCAAATTTCTGAATGTGTAAAATGAATTTCGTCTGTGCCTCGTCACAAGATACTGTTTTCCATTCAGGTCCATGCTGAATCCGGCATCTTGATCCACCGACATACACGCCCGTATTTCTGACTGATTTTCACAACCATCGATAAAAATAACGCACAGGAAAATATCTACATAACTGTAAGTTTCATTTTGACCTAAAATTGAAGCAGGTATGTCGAGAAATAGCAAGGATTTTGGTTGATTCGTATTCCGATATCCACTTTCCAATACCCACCATTTTGACGAAGGTCCAAAAAGGAAGAGCAGAGGATTGTGGGGGCTGTTCTCTCGTCCAGTCTCACGCGATGTTACGAGATCTTACCTAAGACTCTACTATCATCTGTATGGGTGTGTCCATGCTTTTTTTAATTTCTAAAAAAATGGAATCATTTTGAGTAGAATAACCGAAAATATGATATTAAAACCTATATACCTCTAGATTACATACCATATTTCATAATTGATGGCTATCTTCTCAATAGGTACATTTTATTGAAAACCTTGACGAAAGTATTAAAACCCCTTGCCAAAAGTGGTTACAACCAAGTACAAAGCGGAAGTGGGATAGATGAAGTTTGTGTGACAGAAGGTTTAGTTTTACCACGCATTTCAGCTGACAAGATGGCACAGCAGCGAGGTATAACACAGAGTAAAGAGTCACTTCTCAAGTCTTACAACAAGCGCCTGAAAGACGACGTCAAATCTATTCTGGACAACTTCACAGAGATACTAAAGGCGGCCAAGGTATTGAATTTATGATCACCAGTATAATGAAGCTTTCAAAATAACAAATTATTGACTGGCTTTCCAAAGCTTTGTACGTTTGTTGTTCACGCCTTTTGAAGCTTTTCTGTGTTGTCGTTTTCTCTGGTCTTTTCACATCATTCAAAACAACTGCTAAGGTATGGCATTACTAGTAATATTAGCCATTTTCTGAAAAAGATGCATTTTTGGTGTTGTGTTGCTCCAAGCAGATGTAACGTCACAGTACATCTGCTTGGAGATAAGATGTGACCATTTTCCCAGGTAGAAGAACAGAACCAAGTGTCGACCCTGACACAGTCGGACCAGGCGCGATACGAGATGCATGTCAGAGCTGCAAATATTGTGAGTATCAAAGAGTTTCAATACTTTTTTCTTGGGTATATCATAACTTTCTATTCCCCCCCCCCTTAAATTAAGGTCCAATGATGAGTTTTGATCTATGAATTAGAATTCATTCAAAACAATGTAGCAGAAAATATTGCATTGAGTGTAATCAAAACGATACATTTTCAGCTGCAAGAATACTGTGTACTTGTGGCTTATACCAGATGTACTAGTATGTAGATAAATTGCTTTTTGAATATGGTGAATTTCATGATGATATATGTTTAGTATATATGTGACATGAGTAACGTAGTAAGTATATATGTCATCTAGTCAACATTATACTTAAAACACTTGAATACCGGTATATATAACATTATACGTGTGTATTTCTAACTCTTGTTAGATCACTTACCACTTACCGTGAAATGAAAGTGTGATGCCATTATTTTCAGGTCCGTGCTGGTGAGTCACTAATGAAGCTTGTTTCGGACCTGAAGACATTCCTCATCCTTAATGACTTCCCTTCTGTAAACGAAGGCATCAACCAGAGAACTCAGCAACTCAAGGCCATCCAGGCAGAGTGTGACACAAAACTGCTGGCACTGAGGGATGACATGGCAGCAGACTTGTACGACTTAGAGGAAGAATACTACTCCTCGAGGCATAAATGACATTCAAGACATTAATACTGGACTATTTTGTACTGTAAATACCTCTAGACTTATCAACGTTCAAGGGAAAAGGAGGCATCCATGGACCATGGTCACACAGTGCATTGAGTGAGAATCATTTCCACCTTTTAGTGTACAATACATGGCAATGCCCATCTCTTTTTCTACACATCATGGAGCTTAGCTTTGCTAGTCCAATGGTTTGTGTTCAACTCACACCATGTAGTGGTGTAAGTGTTTAATGGCAGTGAGAGTTTCAAGCAAAACCAAGAAGACAAAAAACACTGCGAAATGTGTCAAGATGTACGGTATTTTGTATTTCGCTTTCTATGAATCAATTGTCTAATTTAACTCATAAGTGCTGGATATGATAATATACTGGCATCATAATGTCCATTTATTACATTATTACTAAGTGAGGTAATATCAACCATGAAAAGAAAGATAATCCAAAGACACAGGCATGGCTGAAAAGCAAATTTTATGCGCATTGCACAATGCATTAGTTGCAACAAAAGCATAACAGAGGCTATCTATAGGTTTTCACTGACAGGAGATATGTTAGATTTGTCTTCATTTATTCCATCAATGAAAAACATACTGATACATGTATTGCCTTTTTCTCTAAGTCTAAGCTAGCCTAGTAAATTTACAGCACTCTTAATACATGTTCGGTTCACATGTATAAATCTTCATGGCACAATCTAGAGATTCACATGAGAGAAATCGGAATTCTTATCTTCGTTTCACTAAATCTCTCTAACTTACTACTTACTAATAATCTTCATACTTATATGCCAGACCATATGTTATCACTCCATAACTACCACTTGCCGACCTTTTTCCAATTATGATAAGCATATATCTTTCTCCTTTTGGAGTATAACATTTTTTGGGAAATGCATTTTCAGAATAAATTGCACAACTGTAAATTCAAAAGCAGTCAATTGAAAGATTCCAATGTCATGAGAAAGCAACTGGAATGCAAAGATTACACAAGCAAACAGTTTTGGAAGACGGGTCTCTGTGGAACTGAATCCTCCTGAAGTCAGACATTGCTGTGTTGATCTCTTGAATGGTGCAGCTTACATCTTGCCTGGCAGCTTGACAGTGACCTGCAATGGCATACAATCATTGAGTTGGGGTGGGGGGGGGGCATTTTCACTATTTCTCACTTCTACAAAAAAAGATCAACACATTGTTGAAGGCAATGACAAGAAAAGTGAAGAAGGTGGCACACTTACTGTCTTCACCTCACAGTACTCCTCAAGGGCATATTCACCCCTGAAAGGAAACAGGTTACGTTACATTGTATTGTCGTATCTCTAATGGTCTAAAATGATTAACAGAGATATGTTTGATACACAACCAAAATGTAATTGAAGACAACACTCTTCTCTAGCTGGTAGCTGTCTCAAAATAGTTCTAAAAGATTACTGTGTTAGTATAGTAGTTACAATCCCCAATAAGTACTCCAACTGAAAATAAGTTGTAATTACCTCTTTTTTTTTATATGACTATCACAAATTGAGATATTTGAGGCCAAAATGGAAAGTTTAGAATGCAGAAAAATATACTGAAATACGTACAGTTCACGGCCATTTCCAGACTGCTTGAAGCCTCCAAATGGAGTCTGAGGGGTTATGGCATTGTAGCAGTTCACCCTGCAATGGAAGAACAGAACTTAAAAATTGTCATCTGAATTGATGAGTAATCAAGGAGATGGTATTCAGTGTATCTAAATTGTTGAAGCACTAACTAACCACAACATCATCATCATCTTTCATCCTCCATAATAGAGGTGGAGCATACAAAGTTAGCTCGCCAAAACTGTTTGTCATTCATCACAGAGATCAGTTATGTATCATGTATGTAGATCAACTATGTACAACAAACTAACCAGACTGTCCCAGCCTTCACAGAGTTGGCGATGGTTAGTGCCTTGTTGATGTCCTTGGTGAAGACAGCAGCAGCCAGGCCGTAGGTTGTGTTGTTGGCACGCTCAATCACCTCCTCAATGTTCTTGAACTTGAAGATGCTCATCACAGGGCCAAAAATCTAAATCAAGAAGATTTTCAAGTATCGAGTATCAAGCCTCCTCATAAAAAAAACAACATTCTATTGAGAAGAAAAGGGTTGACTTGAAAATGCATCGTGCTTCACCTCAGTCAACGATGACTGCTTTACCTAACTCTAATCATCAAATGCAATACTGTTTGGCTGCTTTTGACAATGACTATCAGTACAGTTACTATACCTCTTCCTTGGCGATAGTCATGTCATCTCCGACGTCTGAGAACACGGTCGGCTCGATGAAGAAACCCTTGTCCCCATGGCGAGCTCCTCCACAGTTCAGCTTGGCACCTGGTAGAGGAGAGAAAATTTGGCATGCTTGAGGTACAAAGGTACATCTTTCATAATAGAGGTTTACATTTTAATCACATTGTAATAAAACTACCTGTAACAGTCAAACCTGCACCAGGAACACTTGCTTGAAGGACCTTAGCTATCAGAGTCAATTTTGGTTGTCTCTCGCTTGATAAATCTGTGCAAGTTAGCATAGGTTTACATCAAGAGAATTGACAGATCAAGAAAAATAAGTTAAACATACAGTAGTGTAGGCTTGGTGTACATGTGAAAATTAGAAACCTTACCCTGGGTCTTTCCTGACTCAATCAGGCCAAGAATCTTCTGGAACTGTTCATCATCAATCTGTTGTCACAAAAACAAACAAAAATTCAAAATCATGCAGTTTGATGACAAGAAAACACTTCAAAAGATATACTAAAACTGTAAATAACATAACAGTCTGATTGATGTTCTTCTAAAATTCAATAATGATACCATTTTCAGCTACAAGACAAAACAAATTGCAAAAAAAAAAGCAAATTGTTTCACCTGCGGGCCCTGCTCGTTCTTAGGGTCAAATGGGCTCCCAACTGTACGCTTCTTGGCGCGTTCCACGCTGCGCTTGACGAACTCGTCATAGACAGATTCTTCCACAAAGGTACGGGACCCGGCGCAGCAGCACTGACCCATGTTGAAGAACAGGGCCTGATGGGCCTGTTCCACTGCATGGTCCACTGTTATACATGACAAAAATACATTATGAAAATACATCATGATGTACCGGGTAGCATTGTGACTATGGCAACAGATTAATAACCGAAGCACGTTTTCTCTCAGATTTCATGACTTCAGGATAATTAGTACATACGTACATTATATACTAGCCAGGAGTCCAAAATTATATTTAGTACAACAATAATCCGTATACACCCATGCAAATTCTGATGTTTGTCATAAGTGAAATGCCTGTAATGTAAAACTCTACCCACTATCGGCATCAGCGAAGATGATGTTGGGACTTTTCCCGCCCAGTTCCAGAGACACACGCTTCAGGTTACTCCCACCAGCTGCTGCCTGGATGATCTTTCCAACCTGGAGGATCATGCATATGGCATCATTTAGCAAAACATTAGATGGAGAATTCAAAATTATCCCTAGGATTTAGTTTACAGGCTGTTACATGAAAGTTGAGGAAGGATGACAGCACAATTTTAAAGAGGATCAAGCATCTCTATTTTCTGAGTGCTATCCTTTTAAGTCCCGAATTTGCTTTTCTTTTAATCTTTTATCTGAAGAAACGAGTGCTTACTTCTATCTGTCTTACTTTGCTTTATCTAAACAGTTGAAAGAGCAAAAGAGTGCTTCTGTGTACCTTAATTTGCTTGTTTTATCTAAACAGTTGAAAGAGCAAAAGAGTGCTTCCTTCTAACTTCCTTCAATCAAAAGAACAAAACAGTGCTTTTTTCTGTGAAGACAAACCCAGCCCACCTCAGTTGAGCCCGTGAAGGCAACCTTGTCCACGTCCAGATGTTCCACAATGTGGGCACCGCAGCTCGGCCCGTACCCTGGCAGCACATTCACTACACCAGGCGGGAACCCAGCCTGCAAAAACATATAACTTATACATGCATGTAGCAGATGATAGTAAGAGCAATTAGACTTTATAGTCAAACCATGTCGATGGGAACTAGCCTGGGTACCGTCCGGATTTTGCTCTGTTACACTAGCAAAATCTGGATGGTTCCCAGGCTACCGGTAAATGGGAATTCTGTGACTGATTCCAGTTACTTTAGGTTAGTTAGAATAATTTGCATATCTTTCAAGGGATTGGGCAGCTGTGCCCATCTACATTTCAACAGCCCTATAGGCAACATACTACTTGTGTATTTATATGGTTTACATATTTATTGAGTCTTCTATATATCGGTATAACCCCTCTAGACCACCTACCTACCTACTTATATTGCAATTATTGCTATATTGCAAAAGTGGAAGGCACCCTCTACCCCTTCTACTACCATTCAAAATCACAATTGATCAAATATCCCCTTAAGAAATAAACCTCATCCATCTGAGCACAATCCATGGGGTCACAAACTATCAACTTCAATAGCCACGAGAGCTGACCAGACCTCCTTGACCAGTGCGGCCAGGTAGAGTGCGGTCAGCGGTGTCTGTTCAGCCGGCTTCAGCACACAGGTGTTCCCACAGGCCAGGGCAGGGCCAAGCTTCCAGACCACCATGTTGATGGGGAAGTTCCACTGAAACAAGAAAATGTTCAAAGATTAATTTTGATTAATGTTAATACAGTACATAAAATACTTTATTATTGCGCAAGCACAAAAGTCCCCCAAATGTTGACATCTTATATACATGTACATACAAAAATATTGTTGGATGCAGTAATTTTGCAGTTTCAAAACCTTTTGATAACTTGTGTAGGTTTTGGTTGTCAGTGAGTCTTTTAAAAGATTTAGGAAAAGAGCTGCGCTGCACTGTATTATATAAACTATACTTACTGGGATGATCTGTCCACACACACCAACAGGCTCATGACGAGTGTAGGTGAAGTACGGGCCATCTGGAAGCAAAAAACATAACATGACAGGATTAGACAGCTTCTTGTCATGATGAGAAGGGTGTAGATGTCTATATTTACTGGGACTCATTCAAAAGGCAAACCTTCGAGCAAATTTGATAAACTTCTAGAATAGAACTGTAAAGAACATTTCTACATTAGCTTTTAATATTAAGTGTTCTTCTTCTGCTGCATTTACTGTATGCCTTGTGCTTCATGGCAACTAATCAACTTATTTCACATTTTGATATGAAAAGCTGAGTCATATTTTACTGACCGACAGGGATGGTTTTCCCAGTGATCTTGTCACACCAGCCAGCAAAGTATCTCACGATCTTGATGGGCTCCAGCACATCCACATAGTATGACTCAAACAGGGGCTTCCCATTGTCAAGGGTCTCCAGGTTCTGTATATATATGTGTTGATTATTTGTTTGTTTACAGTTGTATTTAGTTGTATTTGTTAAGGAATTGATCTCTTTGATTTCTCAAAGACATCAATGACAAAGCAAAGATATGTTTAATATTCAAGAAAGAATTATAGTACAAATGTATTCAAAAGTTTTATGCATTTATATTACACCACTTCATTCCTGGAGATTCTCAACAAAATACATGTAACGTCAATAATGTTAGTCTGGTAATACATTTATTCTTAGGAACGTCTATGAAAAAACAACAACTTGAATTCCTTACAGCGAGGTAGTCCTTGTCGCGCTCCATCAGGTCAGCCAGTTTGTAGAGGAGTCTCCCGCGCTGAGAGGCGTCCAGGTTCCGCCATGGCGTGCCCAACTTAAACGCCGCCCGAGCTGCAGCAACGGCCTTATCCACATCAGCCTAGAATTTAAAAAACAGCACATTGTGGCATGATCCTGTAACCTCTTCTGTTGAACTCTTTAGACCCAATTAGAACTTTGTCCAGATTAAGCAGGAAATCAAGGACCGTGAAGTAATCTAGAGTTGTTCTGAATATCTAGTTTTATGTCGAAAAGACTCGAAATATTGTGAATTTCTCACTTATTCTGTATATAACGTTATTGCATTAAACCCAAGGCTAAACCCCATACATACCTTCTCAGCCTCCTGAACATCACAGATCTTCTCCCCTGTAGCTGGGTTGATGGTGGGGAAAGTCTTCCCACTCTCCGAGTTCACAAACTCATTGTTGATGAACAGCTGAACAGAAGGTACATAAAACTTGTCAAGATGTACAAATTTTGTTTACTTTTAGTAGTTTGTCTACTGACAAGAAAGCACTTTGATGCTAATTCACATCATTGTATACTTGTAGCAACATTATCACTCATTAATAGAATGATCAGAAAAATCGGACTGATGAGCAGCACTGTCCTTGGTGCTGAAAAACATTTGGATGATATTTGTCACTGGTTAGTTGTCCTTGACCATGTTGAGTTAATGACAATATTTGTCTCTAGTTAGCTGTCCTTGAGCATGTTGGATTAATGATTGAAACATCTGCTAGTTTCCAACCTTGGTACTTTGAATTTCACCCTGTTCAGACTGGCATCTGCAAACTCGTTTCATTGCCAAACTGATTTTTAAATCAGTTAGATTTTATTTGAATCTGAATGGCCAAAATCACATTGAAACCTGCTATAGATATCAAAGTACCTCTGCCTCAGCAGTGCCTGTGTTTGTTATTGCAAACTGTCCCAAGTATGCGTCACAGCTGTTAGTCAGGCTGACCTTTAGACTGCCTAGCTAAATCATGTGGATGTTTGTCCCTGTATGAGTTGTTGAACTGAGTTCGAGTGGTGTTTTTCCCAAGGCCTTGTTTTCCCTTAGTCACCATGGGAGGGCCGCCCTGTGTTCTGGGGGCAAGAATGCTTCTAATAAAGGATCTTTCGACACAATCCGCGGACTGTTTTATCATTAAAATGATAATTCAACAACCTATAATTGGAAGTGTGAACATTTGAACAATTGACTGTGGTCTCTCGTGTGTCTCGTGGAGATTCTTACTCGGTCAACCCAAGGACATTATACACTGTGTATAATGTCCTTGGTCAACCGTACGTAATTCCTTTGTGTCACGATGAATAGACATTCCCTAGGTCGCTAGTAGGTCTTCAACGTAATTGTTCAGTTGATCGTAATCTTTGGTTTCATCGAGTAATCGCATGAACTAGAAATAAATGTTCGGGCATAGTGTAAGGTAACATAACGTTAACGTCCGATGATCGCCTTTTAACCGACATCTGATTTTAAAAACGACTCTACATCCAGCCGCGGTTAATGTTTAATTTGCCATGCCATTCTGATCACGTACACAGCACCCTGTGCAACCAGTGGCCCATTGTCCTGCGGCCATGTACTTCAACCTCTTTCACGACACCCGAGCAAGCTTTTAAGTATACGTACTGGTAAAGAGACGCGGACACCTATAAAAGTTGTTTCGCAGGACGATTGTGCTGTGAACAGAACGATAGAGTAAGTGTTTTCTCGGCAAAAATACTGAATACAAGTTCAACGCAAGTTTTAAGTTCTGGTGCGTGAAAATTGGTCCACAGTGCCCGCCCATTGATGTCAAACGTATGGCAAGAGAGGGTAGGCCCCTTGTATTTTTATTTTCCATTGAGTAGATTCACGACTGAAGTCTATGCTTAACGTTATACATCACACACGAGTGACACGGCCGCACATACCTGTGTGTACTTGATTTCTGGGTTGGGGTTCGGGGTGGGGAGGTACGGAGCAGCCATCTTTGCAGCCTGTTGAGCGAAAAAGGGGGCGTGTCGGGGGCGAGGTCAGAGTCCGCGGCCAGCTTACTGACGTAACGGGGCTGAGATGTTGACCCAATTTTACCTCCAAGCAGATGTAACAGAGCCTGTCTCAAATCTTCCCCATACCCCACTCGTAGCCCTCCTCAACTCTTCCCCTTACCCCACTCGTAGCCTTCCTCAACTCTTCCCCCTTACCCCACTCGTAGCCTTCCTCAACTCTTCCCCCTTACCCCACTCGTAGCCTTCCTTAACTCTTCCCCCAACTGACTCGTAGCCTTCCTCAACTCTCCCCCTTACCCCACTCGTAGCCTTCCTCAACTCTTCCCCCTACCCCACTCGTAGTCTTCCTCAACTCTTCCCCCTACCCCACTCTTACCCTTCCTCAACTCTTCCCCCCTAGATTACCTTATTGGGTCAGATATGCTCTGTATGATGTTTTCACAAAGGAGCTTAGAAATAGGTCATTGTATTCACTATATGCATTTAACGTTATGTATACTTTGGGACCGAGGCAGGGTCTAAAAATCACAAAGCCAAGTGAACCATGTACTAGAAACCATTTATTCACAGAAGTTTTCTTAACAATCCAGAAAGAGGAGAAAGAACGAAGCATAGCCTTCACCGATAATGAATTTACCTGAATTTAGCTAATGATAGATATTTTGCGCTAATTTTTCTTACTTTGGATACGTGACTTAAACATTTTCACCGCTTCCTCTACCGTGTAGCGACCTTGTCTAATCGCCAGGACGACTTTAGATGCAGAAATGCCACTTTTCTTCAGTATGTCGTTCATCCCCATGCCAGGGAAGGCCTTCTGTACACCTGCCAGGAACTGATCAATTTCTGACTTCTGCAGCTTCTCATCGAAGTCCGTTCTCGTCGCCGGAGGAGGATTTCCGTTTTGCTTTTTCACCTTCATCTTTTGAAACTTTGCTTGTTTTTTGCGCATTTTGCCCTTGCCATACGCGCCTGCGCGTTGGCAGATTTTGACATCCCACTGAATGCGTTCCAGTTTCAAATCCTGACAGAAGCTAGGTTTGATTTCGACCGGTCCATTCCACTTTGAGCCCGGAAAGATTTTCTTCTCCGTGGGTTGTCGTTTGCAGTAACTGTTGACGTCGTCGTTTAACTGTTGAAAGGCTTCTAGCTCGTCTTGGAAGTCCTGCCCTGCTGCCTCTATCTTCGCCCAAAGACTTTTGTTGAAATGTTCGTACAGTTGATAGTCGACGAAGCTCGCGTTCCGGTGGTTCAGGAGTTGTTGCTCGGTGTAGGCCGACTCTTTCTTTGTGTATCTGAAAACACAACAGTTGTATATTAACAACACTGATTCAGCGTAGTGCTAGACAACTGCGTGGCATGACCGGCTAGCATATTTGTGCAGATCATAATGGGATTGTGTGGCACTTTTACACGAATCTCTTCACTTTACTCAGGTGAAAATGGGTACCTAGCTTTGGTTAAGGGCGTCCCTCTGATAGGACGTTAAATGGAGGCCCCGTGTTTGGGGAAAACCACACCTGACTCACGTTACTCGCAACCCAACACGCCATTCAAAAAAGAGTAGAAGAGTAATAGGGGCATGCTCCGGTGTGCGATGGTACAAATACTACTGTCTGGAAGAAGGTGGTTCACTACAAATCACCCGGATACAGACCCGACAAATCCACGTCCGATATTAGACACGAAATGCAGCAGAATTCTCGACAAGTTGAAGGTGCCGCTGGCTACCTCAAATGAGGAGAAAAAGAAGAAGAAGAAGAAATGTGTTTCCCCTCACTTTTGTTCATTCCTGGGCTGCCTGTCATACAGGATGTTGTAGAACGTCCAGCACATCAGGCGCTTCAGCAGGACTAGCGACGCGTCGAAGTACTCCAGGATGAGGACCAGGGGGAAGTCACTGTCGAGCTGGGAGAGAAACATCCTCACGTCATCTGGGTCTTTGTTGAAGCGATCCTTCCACCCTGGGGGAAACGCATTGTGGACAAAATTGAGATGGATTACTTTTGATCCGGATCGGAGAAAATCAATCCCGATTGGAGCGATTTACACTGCAAAAAAAAATCCGGATTAAAGAATTTCGATCCGGATCAACGCCCGATCCGGATCATTTCTTTGAATGTGAAAGAAGAAGTGATCTCTTTGTGACATTAATGTGATCAGTCCACTTCATCCGAAAATACTTTATGTACTCCGATGTACAAATGCATCATTGATCAATTTACTGATCACAGCTCGCTTAGGCTGCCAAAATATATATGTTAGAGATGTTGAAATGCTGAATTCAGAACTTCTGTTTACAAGCAAGTTGTACTTTTTCCTTGACAATGTGTCCCTTTTGGAAAGTACCGGCAGACTTTGCTTTTGCTTCCTTTCTTTACGCAGAAAATATTGCATCGACCGGTAACTTATTGGAAACCACAGCACTTACATCAATACTTTGACGGTATATTCAATTAAACTTTGCACTTTTTAAAACAGTTACGGAAAATCAAAACCTACCTAGGACGAAAGATTGTAAGTTCATGGTCATGGACGCCCTGGCCTTCTTCGCTCTTGTCGAACCCTCATACCGCCAGGGGTTATCCAGATATTTGCCCAGTGGGTTTTTCTCGCCCGCTAAGGCGAACTTTTTGTCCCTGAAGAATGTAGCATGCAACAAAATAATGTGTTAATATGTTAATCAGTAAGAGCCATTGACCCTTATCCACCGAGTTACCGCCACAAGTGTGTTTGAGAGGTCCCTAGCACCACAGGTATGCACACTTTAGATATACAGGAGTGCATTATACTGGGGGACGTTGGCATTGGGGATCTCTTTACACTCATTTTTCAGGGTGGTGGACACGTATATGTGACGTGGCGAATGATTCTCACATAGAGCTTTCGACCACCAGTCACTCTGGTCTTCGTCAGAAGACTGACCTAGCTATAGCGAGGCCCCCGTCGAAATCTCTAGGTGAGAACCATTCTGTGTTGGATTGAAAGTTTTTACTAGTACTGTAACAAGATTTGACAGGATCACGTAGCAGAGAGATCAAACTCTCTCCTGAAACCCACATGCTGAAGTAGAAGAAACACGACTTGAGGTGACTGAGAGGTTCCCTGAGGATGGTGACGAACTGAGTGTCCGGAGCCATGAGCTTGTGAAACTTGACTCTGTCGTACACGGTGTGATGCACCAGCAGGTTGTACTCATCCACGTCCTGATGCATCAGTATGTCGTCTGTCATGCCTCCCGGAAATCCAAGGTTCACGCTCGGACACTTCCTAGAATGGAAGATGTACAGTCACAGGGAGGGTAGGAACAACAAGCCTTCACTACGGCCACACCAAGTAATTTCTATGGATGACGTCTGCGCGCGCGCGCGCATTGATTTTGGACTGTCCCCAAAAATATATACATTCAACGTTAAGTGACAAAAATTCGTTCCCCAGACTTCAAAGTAGTACGCAAATGCCTTCACATATACAATTGTGTCAAGTAGACATCAAAACCAGCTAGAAATTGCAACAGAAAACAGGAGGTGAAGCGAAGGAATAAAGTTATCCCTCACTTTGGTAGGACGAAGTTGAGTCCGTGTTCGTAGCCGAACCTTTGTAGAATACAGACTGTTGTGTGAGAGCCTGCCTTGTGCACCTGAAAAGAAAATGCACAGTGAGTGAACTAGTGGGACGATTTGAAATAGTGTTTGATAAGTTCTCGGAAAAGCAACGTTAAATGTGACTAAATATAAGTCATTGAAATGCAAAGACTATCTCACCTTCATAAATAAGATACTTTTCTTCATCTTGCATTGCCCGTTTAAGCCATCGGCACCCTCAGGCGCATTTGAGACAGGGTGCTCGATGTACTTGTTCGAAGCAGCGCTGTTGTTGTCATCGCTAGTGGTAGCATCTTCAGTACTTTCTGTGCCAGCTCTACAGAATACATAAGCAGAAATTGTGAAAAGTTTGCAACCTAAAATTTTGCTCACTCTGTGACCTCTGCCTAATTTGTCGCTCACCAAGCTGTCGTAAAGGGGTGTAAATGACTTGAACATATTGCGTAGGGGACGAAATAATGACGCGAGACACAGGTAACCAGACATAATTACACCACTATATTTGTGCATGTGTACATTTATGCAATCTACATAAACATCACCTTATCATATCCGAGTCCTCTTGTATCTCATCCTCAGAACGCGTCGTAGTCGAATGCCGTCCTATCTGTAATAGACGTTTTAGACATGGCATGACAAATTACAAATTCTTTCTTCTAAAAATCGTATTCATGTCTATTGTACATGTCCACGATTATTTAAGGCGTACTGTTGTATTCGTTCCCTGTCGTGGCCCATCACCCTTCACTTAACCGCGACGAGGGCCGACATCGTCTACAAGATACATCGTCAAAGTAGTACGCAAATGCCTTCTACAAGATACCTTTGACCCAGTGTTGACGTCACACAGAAGCCATGTGACAAGCCTCACTGGGTCAGTCTACTGAGGAAGACCAGAGTGACTATTCGAAAGCTCTAGGTGAGAAAATTTTTAGTGTTGCATCTAAAGTTCTAACTCTAAACATGTTACTACCAACACAGATTAACTTTCATGATAGTACACTAGTTATATATTGTAATATGACGAAAGTGATCTAGTGATGCGTATTAATGTTAAGAAGAAAAGGAAAGGTTCGCTCACCCCAAGGTTGTGAATAAGTAGAATGAAGATGCCGACAAGGATCAGAAGACCCGTCGTTACTGTTCCTAACTTCTTCTTACATGGAAGGTTCCACATAGTCATCTGCAAAGAAAACTTTCTTTAAACCACTGCAGAAATGTCTCAGAATGACATCTTATAATCGTAGAGTGGGGAGAAGCAAAACATTGCTGTGTTTGATTCTTGTTTAACATTCATTTTCTAAATAATACTGTTTGGAAACTTGAAAAAAAATTGATATGCTAGAACAAAACTGTCACTATAGCACGAGTTAACCCTTGAATGAGATGACAAATTAATCATTGGATGCCCCCCGGGCAATTTTTCCTACTCTGGTCGTTTAGTTGGCCATGAGTCTAACCTTGTTAGCAGTCTCTAAAACCGAGGCATTTAGGGTGCCTTTAAAATGAGTTTTTTTCTCCCATGGCATGATACTCTGGTTCTTGAGTCGATCCAGCGTCTGCCGAGGACGCAAATCACCGCATTGTCGTACAAACATCAAAGCAAGTCAGCTGTAATGCCATAGCAGACAATGACCTCGTTTAGAACAGAATACTAGTAGTTGAGCGTTGGATAGAATCATCATATTGTCAGAAGTTATGCACGGTGGACAAACTGTAGCTGGTAAGTTACTAGTACTGAGCCATGAACTGCTCTCAACATACTAAAAGATACCAGTTTATGAGACTTGCTTACTTACAGACACCCGAAACGTCCCGTAGTGTTAGTTCGCCAGCCCCCCTGAAAATGTGTTGTGATATGCTGTCGTATAGATCGTGCTTTTATGTGTTGCCTTCAAGTTGTATCTTTTAAATTTGAAAACATCACAGGGACGACCTAATACGTACACTGCAAGTACACACTCATGACAAACATATGCACGCACACTAGCTCGCTCGCTCGCTTACACATCAGATGCACAAACGCTGTCACATAAAACAAGTGTTCACCCACTAACTGTTAGATCATCCCAGAGTCTCGCTATCCGAATACATACAACGTTTGTGACACCGTATGTTGACAAATATCGACGCCCGATAAGTGTTGTACGTTACTAGACTACACCTGGCTTATCAAGGTTAGACAAACATTGGGAGAGCCTGAAGTACAGCACATGAGGAAAGTTTGTAACCGGGATTACTACAAGCGGAGCCTCCTCATCCCGAAGATGGTATCAAGGCGATATCTATCGAAAGGTTGTAAAGACGTCCTTACCTTACCCTGCAGATGTCACACAAGTGTTGGGCAGGGATGTGACAAAAAGGATTTAAACTCTGGATAGACCGGTTCGGTTAGTTGTCTTAGAAAAAGCACATGTCTGGAATTTCTACCCACCCCACCCTAGTAATTTTAGTTTCATTTATTGACATTCAAATAAAAAAAATCGACTCGCCACTGGACTAAATAGTGTAGATAGCTGTTTTAATTGACGTGCGTCGTCTCTACCTGGGGTGGAACCACATATCTCACCTACACCCGGACACCTTTCGGCATCTCTCCAGACTCAAGATTGTCCACCTGAACAACAACAACATTTGTGCCATCACAGAGGGTAAGTCTGTTGTAGTTAACTTTTGGGACGGCGTAAGTATTCACAGTTTTATAACGCTGAATGGCATGCAAACAAAGAGCAAAGGCAAACGTTTCAGCCTCTCTTTTTAGTACCATGTTAGGTACATTTGATTTACATGTACGTGCCTAGTTTATATTCGTTACCGACTCGTCTGTCCTTGTTTCACCCAGGTCCGTTTGAAGGATTGGGTAATTTGGAGGAACTCTTCCCCCTAGGCTCTGTATGATGTTTTCACAAAGGAGCTTAGAAATAGGTCATTGTATTCACTATATGCATTTAACGTTATGTATACTTTGGGACCGAGGCGGGGTCTAAAAATCACAAAGCCAACGTGAACCATGTACTAGAAACCATTTATTCACAGAAGTTTTCTTAACAATCCAGAAAGAGGAGAAAGAACGAAGCATAGCCTTCACCGATAATGTATTTACCTGAATTTAGCTAATGATAGATATTTTGCGCTAATTTTTCTTACTTTGGATACGTGACTTAAACATTTTCACCGCTTCCTCTACCGTGTAGCGGCCTTGTCTAATCGCCAGGACGACTTTAGATGCAGGAATGCCACTTTTCTTCAGTATGTCGTTCATCCCCATGCCAGGGAAGGCCTTCTGTACACCTGCCAGGAACTGATCAATTTCAGACTTCTGCAGCTTCTCATCGAAGTCCGTTCTCGTCGCCGGAGGAGGATTTCCCTTTTGCTTTTTCGCCTTCATCTTTTGAAACTTGGCTTGTTTTCTGCGCATTTTGCCCTTGCCATACCCGCCTGCGCGTTGGCAGATTTTGACGTCCCACTGAATGCGTTCCAGTTTCAAATCCTGACAGAAGCTAGGTTTAATTTCGACCGGTCCATTCCACTTTGATCCCGGAAAGATTTTCTTGTCTGTGGGTTGTCGTTTGCAGTAACTGTTGACGTCGTCGTTTAACTGTTGAAAGGCTTCTAGCTCGTCTTGGAAGTCCTGCCCTGCTGCCTCTATCTTCGCCCACAGACTTTTGTTCAAATGTTCGTACAGTTGATAGTCGACAAAGCTCGCGTTCCGGTGGTTCAGGAGTTGTTGCTCGGTGTAGGCTGACTCTTTCTTTGTGTATCTGAAAACATAACAATTGTATATTAACAACACTGATTCAGCGTAGTGCTAGACAACTGCGTGGCATGACCGGCTAGCATATTTGTGCAGATCATAATGGGATTGTGTGGCACTTTTACACGAATCTCTTCACTTTACTCAGGTGAAAATGGGTACCCAGCTTTGGTTAAGGGCGTCCCTCTGATAGGACGTTAAATGGAGGCCCCGTGTTTGGGGAAAACCACACCTGACTCACGTTACTCGCAACCCAACACGCCATTCAAAAAAGCGTCCAAATACTGCTGTCTGGAAGAAGGTGGTTCACTACAAATCACCCGGATACAGACCCGACAAATCCACGTCCGATATTAGACACGAAATGCAGCAGAATTCTCGACAAGTTGAAGGCAGCTACCTCAAATGAGGAGAAAAAGAAGAAGAAGAAGAAATGTGTTTCCCCTCACTTTTGTTCATTCCTGGGCTGCATGTCATACAGGATGTTGTAGAACGTCCAGCACATCAGGCGCTTCAGCAGGACTAGCGACGCGTCGAAGTACTCCAGGATGAGGACCAGGGGGAAGTCACTGTCGAGCTGGGAGAGAAACTTCCTCACGTCATCTGGGTCTTTGTTGAAGCGATCCTTCCACCCTGGGGGAAACATATTGTTGACAGAATTGACTTAGATAACTTGGATCGCTTCGCAACATTATAAGTGTGATCAAACTACTACATCTGAGAAGCCTTTATGTAATCCGATGTACAAAACGTATTGCAGATCAATTTGCTGCCAGCTGGCTTAGGCTGCCAAAATATGTATGTTGGAGATGTCGAAATGCTGATTTCAGATCTTGTTTCTTTTACAAACAAGCTTTTCCTTGACAATGTGTCCCTTTTGGAAAGTATCGGCAGACTTTGCTTTTGCTTCATTTCTTTACACAGGAAAATATTGCATCGACCGTTAACTTATTGGAAACCACAGCACTTACATCAATACTTTGACGGTATATTCAATTAAACTTTGCACTTTTTAAAACAGTTACGGAAAATCAAAACCTACCTAGGACGAAAGATTGTAAGTTCATGGTCATGGACGCCCTGGCCTTCTTCGCTCTTGTCGAACCCTCATACCGCCAGGGGTTATCCAGATATTTGCCCAGTGGGTTTTTCTCGCCCGCTAAGGCGAACTTTTTGTCCCTGAAGAATGTAGCATGCAACAAAATAATGTGTTAATATGTTAATCAGTAAGAGCCATTGACCCTTATCCACCGAGTTACCGCCACAAGTGTGTTTGAGAGGTCCCTAGCACCACAGGTATGCACACTTTAGATATACAGGAGTGCATTATACTGGGGGACGTTGCATTGGGGATCTCTTTACACTCATTTTTCAGGGTGGTGGACATGTATATGTGACGTGGCGAATGATTCTCACATAGAGCTTTCGACCACCAGTCACTCTGGTCTTCGTCAGAAGACTGACCTAGCTATAGCATAGAGAGGCCCCCGTCGAAATCTCTAGGTGAGAACCATTCTGTGTTGGATTGAAAGTTTTTACTAGTACTGTAAACAAGACAGGATCACGTAGCAGAGAGATCAAACTCTCCTGAGACCCACCTGCTGAAGTAGAAGAAACACGACTTGAGGTGACTGAGAGGTTCCCTGAGGATGGTGACGAACTGAGTGTCCGGAGCCATGAGCTTGTGAAACTTGACTCTGTCGTACACTGTGTGATGCACCAGCAGGTTGTACTCATCCACGTCCTGATGCATCAGTATGTCGTCTGTCATGCCTCCCGGGAATCCAAGGTTCACGCTCGGACACTTCCTGGAATGGAAGATGTACAGTCACAGGGAGGGTAGGAACAACAGCGCCTTCACTACGGCCACACCAAGTAATTTCTATGGATGACGTCTGCGCGCATTGATTTTGGACTGTCCCCAAAAATATATACATTCAACGTTAAGTGACAAAAATTCGTTCCCCAGACTTCAAAGTAGTACGCAAATGCCTTCACATATACAATTGTGTCAAGTAGACATCAAAACCAGCTAGAAATTGCAACAGAAAACAGGAGGTGAAGCGAAGGAATGAAGTTATCCCTCACTTTGGTAGGACGAAGTTGAGTCCGTGTTCGTAGCCGAACCTTTGTAGAATACAGGCTGTTGTGTGAGAGCCTGCCTTGTGCACCTGAAAAGAAAATGCACAGTGATTGCACTAGTGGGACGATTTGAAATAGTGTTTGATAAATTCTCAGAAAAGCAACGTTAAATATGACTTTGAATATAAGTCATTGAAATTCAAAGACTATCTCACCTTCATAAATAAAATACTTTTCTTCATCTTGCATTGCCCGTTTAAGCCATCGGCACCCTCAGGCGCTTTTGAGACACTGTGCTCGGTGTACTTGTTCGAAGCAGCGCTGTCATCGGCATCACGGTCCTCGGTGTACTTGTTTGAAGCATAGCTGTTGTCGGCATCTCGGTGCTCGATGTACTCGTTTAAATCATGGCTGTTGTCGGCATCGCTAATGGTAGCATCTTCAGTACTTTCTGTGCCAGCTCTACAGAATACATAAGCAGAAATTGTGAAAAGTTTGCAACCTAAAATTTTGCTCACTCTGTGATCCCTGTCTAATTTGTTGCTCACCAAGCTATCGTAAAGAGTGTTATATATGGCAAGAAATTGGACATAGTAAAACACTGGGCATTTCAGAACTTCACAAAAAAGGTAACACAGTGTGATATTGTACCCAAGGGAATTAATCGATAATGGACACCTACTTACTCACACACAACACAACTCAGACTCAGGCCAGGGTTACCTACTCTTCAACATTTTGCCCTGCTTCTCCAAAAGTAACAGTAACAGTAACAGTCACACCTCATTTACTTCCCCGCACACGCCCGACCACACCCCTTATAATCAGACTCAGGCCAGGGTTACCTACTCTTCAACATTTTGCCCTGCTTCTCCAAAAGTAACAGTAACAGTAACAGTCACACCTCATTTACCTCCCCGCACACGCCCGACCACACCCCTTATAATTAGACTCAGGCCAGGGTTACAACCACCCCCCTACCGGGCGGCCAGGCCAGGCCGATCGGTGAAGATTAGAATCTGTCCACCGGAAGTCTCTGTTTGGTTCAGTCAAGGAAGTTTCCAAATATATAATCCCTTTTCTAACCAAACTGGTGGATCATCCACCTTTTTGGGACCATTTCTTCTTCTACCCTGTACTCCACGTTCCACATATGGTATCGCAAGGTTACCGGTTTACTTGAAGTTGAAGGGGTAGTTTACGGTCAGTTGGCGACATGACCGCACTTCGATGTATGCCACTAAAATCAGTGTTCATGAGCAATAAAGAATCATATGAATATGACCCCTATACATGTCTATCATTTACTGAATGCATGGAAATACGTTTGCACCCAGCGACACAGCGGAAAATCTTTCGAAAAGATGGGACAGCAAGGTGCCTGCAACACAAACACGCACATAGAAGTATCGCGAGTCAAGGAATAATGTCCTTAAAACTCGCAACTTTCAGCGTACTTACATCACCAACGATTCATTGATGTTTTAGGGCGAAAACAAACAATTCTGTATACTGTAACTGTGACACCCCCCACTAGCACGCCCTGCCTTGGACTATCAAACGACGTTGTGCGGACCACCCGTGCTTCGGTCGACCCCTGACCCTCCGTTTGTTTTCAAAACAAACTGTTATTAAAAAGTATGTCGCAAGATGACGCAACAAAATCGTGGTGCAAATGCAAGTTTATTACATAGGTCATTGTTGTTTGCTACTTACAATAAGAAAGGGAGGTTTGATGTTGGCTGTTGTTGCAATTTTCTAGCATTCTAGTGATTACGGAATAAGTGACGAAATTTGGAGTTTTGTGGAAACACAACATGCGCCGCGTCCACCTTGCTGTCCCATCTTTTCGAAAGATTTTCCGCTGTGTCGCTGGGTGCAAACGTATTTCCATGCATTCAGTAAATGATAGACATGTATAGGGGTCATATTCATATGATTCTTAATTGCTCATGAACACTGATTTTAGTGGCATACTAGTACATCTAATCTCCAAGCAGATCTTTTGGTGGGGGTAAGACAGTATCAAATTGGGTGGGGAACTGGATACAGACTGGCCAATTTGATACTGTCTTACCCCCACCAAAAGATCTGCTTGGAGATTACGTAAACTACCCCTTCAACTTCAAGTAAACCGGTAACCTTGCGATACCATATGTGGAACGTGGAGTACAGGGTAGAAGAAGAAATGGTCCCAAAAAGGTGGATGATCCACCAGTTTGGTTAGAAAAGGGATTATATATTTGGAAACTTCCTTGACTGAACCAAACAGAGCCTTCCGGTGGACAGATTCTAATCTTCACCGATCGGCCTGGCCTGGCCGCCCGGTAGGGGGGTGGTTGTAACCCTGGCCTGAGTCTAATTACATGTATAAGGGGTGTGGTCGGGCGTGTGCGGGGGGAAGTAAATGAGGTGTGACTGTTACTTGTTACTGTTACTTTTGGAAAAGCAGGGCAAAATGTTTGAAAGAGTAGGGTAAACCCCTGGGCCTGAGTCTAATTATAAAGGGGTGTGGTCGGGCGTGTGCGGGGAAGTAAATGAGGTGTGACTGTTACTTGTTACTGTTACTTTTGGAAAAGCAGGGCAAAATGTTGAAGAGTAGGTAACCCTGGCCTGAGTCTAATTATAAGGGGTGTGGTCGGGCGTGTGCGGGGAAGTAAATGAGGTGTGACTGTTACTGTTACTGTTACTTTTGGAAAAGCAGGGCAAAATGGTAGGTAACCCTGGCCTGAGTGTAATTATAAGGGGTTGGGCCAAACGTGTGTTACTGCGAATTCTGGAGAAGCAGGGCAACATGTTGAAGAGGCTGTTGTTACTGTTCAGCTTGAGTGAGTGTCGATTATCCTTTAATTCCATCGAGTGCAAAATTAGACTATTACCTTTTCTGTGAAGTTGCTGATTCCCAAGGGAGGGGTAAAATGAACCCATGCTGTTGGTTTTATCTGTGGTAATGGACAGTCATGTTATTTTAAAAACCTAATGGACTGATGGGCTATCTATATTGCTATCTTGTAGTTTTGTTACCTTTTTTGTGAAGTTCTGAAATGCCCTGTGTTTTAGCATGTCCAATAGTTTGCCACTACTGATGTATCATTGTGTAACATGCCAAACAAATTAGATACATTTTCCTTTATCACACAGACATAGATGAGTGTATCTTTCTTTTTAACCTCATGGATGACAATTCATATATTTTGGTTTCCCTCTTTTCATGGAGGTAAAAAGAGATCTCTTTT